CTACTCTCAGCCTGTACTCTTGTCTTCCGTCCTTCCTCTTCAAACATCGCCGGCCTCGTTTCCAGCTGAAACCAGATACTGTTCACATCTCAGAACAATACCAGATCTAGAGAGGATAACTTCAGGAGGATGGAATCAACTGACTGGAGCCATTTCAAATGCCACCTTCTCTCCAAAAGCTTTTCCAGACTCACCCAACCTGGCTGGAAGTAATCTCAGTGACTTGAGAGCAATACCTAATACCTATGTGTTAGACCCTCTCATGACTCTTACTTGTTACCTTCAGTTTTGTATGGTGGATAACTGTGTCCATCTTCCCTTGCCTGTTAAATCCTTTGAGCTCTGTGACGGTAGAAACCAAGTAGATCCATGCCTTCACCCTCACTGTAATCCCACTGGGCCTCATAAGTGTTTATGGCATTGAATTGAGTTTAAAGAAGAGACAGTTGGAATTCTGAGACTTTGAGAGTTGGAATTCTGAGACTTAGGAAGGTATAAGAACCTGGTACTTCTCCACCTCTTGGGTGACGTCTCTTTGTTCTGACCGCGGTGGGCACATATCTTGCCCTCCACATCTCCTTCCCACCAACACAGTTACCGACCTCTTAGAGTTTGCCTACTAAAACACCTCATGCTTCCGGTTTCACCATAATACTGAGTTTAGAGGAGTTTCCTGGGAGGGTTTAGTATCTAAAATTAGACACAATAGGGTCGCAGGTGGGGGGAAATCCAATTGCAGGTGGCACACGGGAACCCCCAATAAACGTGTGCTGAATGACCAAATGAAAAAGTAAAGGAGTTAATGCTCTACCGCGGTCTCACAAGCATGGCCGTTACCCAGTTTCCAGAAATCAGACGATCATGGAGTCTCGGAGGCACGTAAAGACTGTTAAGCTAGAGCCCTGGAAATTCCTCCCATCTCAGACCTAGATGGACCACCCTGAGACTCTGAGACCTAGAAACTAACTCCCAAAGGTGAAACCTGAGGCTCTAGGGTGGAGAATTCACATGTTCCCCGGCCCCTGAACCTGAACGTGGACCCCCAGCATGTCAAACACCGACCGACGTGAGTACAGGGCTAAGTAAGTAAGCAAAATGGCATTTAGCTTTCAGCCTGTTACACCGATTACATTGATCTCTTCCGAACGGCATTTCCCACTGCTGCTTGCCAACCAGGGAGGAGAAATCAATGGCAGCAACTTGTTGAGCAGCTGCTGAGCAGCGGAGCGGGCCTGCCGAGAGATGTCGAGCTGCCTGAGGACACAGAGATACACCTCCAGGTCTCTGCTCTCACGTCCATCGGTCATTTCATAATGAGACTCTACACTTTTTATTTTGCTTTTCTTCTTTTAGGTAATGTACATTTATATTTTTGGCAATCGACATGCATTACTTCTGTAATAAAAAAATATATATTTTTAAAATATCAGTAATAAAATGCAAATGTCATGATGTCCTTCGCTACTTAACATTCTTCAAAGGCTCTACATGACTCCCAGGATGAAGTCCAGATTCCTCGGGGCAGCGTGCCAGGCCCTGCACACTTCCGCCCTCTCTTCCCCTTACTCATTTACTTGCTATTCTTCTCAAAGTGCTGCCTTCTTGCTCTGTCCCTGGGCCTTCACGCATGCAGTTCCAACCACCCAAAATGCTTTTCCTTTTTGGCTCAACTCTATTTGGTCTCATCTTAAATATCATGTTTTCCTGGATCCTTCCCTGACCACCACCCCCACATCTAGATGGGGAGCCTGTCTTCTCTAACTTCCCTAACACCCTGTACTTAATCCCTACCCTGTACCTAAGCCCCTTACCGCAGTGTGGTATAAACATTACACTGTAGGCTCTGTGACTGCTTAAATATGTCTTTCTTGTTCTCAGTATATTCTCCAGTACCTAGAACAGTGCCTGGCACTTACTAGATGCTCCGTTAAATGCCGTTGAAAAAGTAAAGCTAATAACAATTAGTTATTAGATTTGGAAGGGTTCTTAGAGACCATCTAGCCTTACTCCTTCTTTTAACAGTGAGGCCCAGAAAAGCAAATCAGGTTCTAATCCCAGGTGCTTTACAGAATTGCTACATGACCTCGGAAAATGCCTTCCCTCTCTGAGTCTCAGTCTCTCCAGCTATAAAATGAGGAAAGCTCGTCCTGCTCCAATGTTTTTCTGGCTTTGCCACCACCACCTCCTCCCCTTCTTCTTGGGTTTTGGGTACCTTCTGGGTACACTGACGGGGTGAGTAGGTGGGATGGTGCAGAAGAAATATAAACTCAAGTTCACCCTCTCAAATTGTTGCCAATCAAATTGAGGAGATAAGACACACTCAGTAAGGAAGTGCTAAATTAAATGTTTCTGATGATTCCATTTTGCTAGGCGGTCAGAAAAGGAAGAGATCAGGGAAGCCTGAGGGCACCAAGGCTCCTGCAGGAGATAAGGCTTAAACTGAGCAGGCAGAATTTACCGAGGCTGCGAAGATGAGAGAAGAGTATCCCTGGCACAGAACTGGCTAACCACACCCATGGGACGTGAGGACCAAGTGGTCACTGAGGGTTAGGCTGATGTGGATTCAGATCCCAGCTCTGCCACTTACTAGCTCTGGGGCCTTGGACCTAAGTTCCAAACCTCAGTTTCCTCACCCTTACTATGGGAATCTGAATGTCTAGCTTGCAGGGGTTTTGTGAGAACTACACATATATGACAGTATCTAGAACAGCGCCTGGTATCTAACAGACAGATCATTTTAAGAAATGCACTTTCTTTTCTTCCTTCCAGCCACATAAATAGGCTTGACACGTCACTGGCAAGAACATCAAAAGTACAGCTGGGATTTGGGGACTGAAGGCTTTTTCTACCCAGCCATATTCATATACTGTTTACTCTGACATGATTTGCCCAATGCCATAGATATAGATATAGATAATGATATAGATATAGATATAGATATATAGATATAGATATATAGATATAGATATAGACATAGATATAGATCTATAGATATAGATAGATAGATAGATAGATAGATAGATAGATAGATCGATCTATATATATATAGATCTATATCTATATCTGTCTCTGTCTCACACACACACACACAACTTCAGGTAAAATCCAAGGGAGAGAGAAAAGCTGTTTCTAGGCCCCTGACCAGATGGGGCAGATTGGGAACTGTCCATTACTGTCAGCAAGAAAAGCTAAGAATCGACATCTAGGTCTGGCCTGACGTTCTCCCTCCACCACAGGACTTATAAGACATAAGATTATGAGACCAAATGTTATTTTCTGAAGGGCTGGATGGAGAGGCTTCGATCAAATTATAGAACAATTCTATAAAATAACTGGGAACATTCATGAAGCTATTGATAATTCTGAAGGAAAACAGAATGAGGCATGTGCTAGGAGAGGAAGTGACAGGGGTGAGGGTGAGGGTGGGGAGAAGGGTTGTTATTTTAGTTCACCCCTGTTCCTGACAGATAAAGAGTGATTAAGATTCAGAAGCAACACCCCAAAGAGAATACAGCATAATCTCATTTATTCAAAACCTTCAGGGAAAGAAGAGCAGCAGGTGCTTATGAGTGGAGATTATTTCTTGAAGGAGAGCATTAAAGTTGTACTTGAACTGAGGTTATTCATCTTTGAGGACTATGAACCCTTTTGCAATCCAACAGAGAGAACTATGCTCTTGTTCCTGGGAAAAGACAGATATGCCCTGAGTTCTGCCTGCAGTGTCATAACAGTCATGGACCCCAGGTTTATAATGTTTCCCTAACAACACTTAAAATTTTTCTTAATGCAACTATTTCTGAACTTCGTTAACTTGTTTCCTGACATGGAGAGCTACCCATACCACTAATTTTTTCTTAGGCTGTGAATAGCAACTAAATGGATTCTTTCAGTTCCTCTAGGACCAGTTGAACAAACCCTCACTAGAAGTCAGGACTCTTGGGTCCCAGAATCAGCTCTGCTCTGCTTTTTCAGAGTGACACAGGCCAATATCAACTCTCTCTGGACTTCATTTTCTCCAACTGGGATAAAAAAAAAAATGCAGGGGTGGCGGGGGTAGGGGGGAGCAGGTGTTGACTAGGACAGCATTCCTAAACTATATTCTGTAGAAGACAAGCATCAAGCACAAAATAAACATTCTATGGCCAAAATAAATCAGAAGTGTTGCATATTCTGTTCCCCTTTGGAGATACACCCAAATCATTAGTATATTAAGGTCTCTGAGAAGTCCTGCCATAAAGAAGTCTGTTGCATCTGGTTTAGTCGAACATTTCCCTAACTGGTTTGATCCATGAATTTTTTTTCACTGGAGTAATATCACTGCGGCCCCATCGGAGAAGCATTTTACTTAGCGCTGAGTTTAGAATCCAGGAAGATGTGACTCCAGGACATCCATTAATCTTTCCCAAACAAATCAACAGACACTGAAGGTTATAGAAGGATGGCATTAAAAACGCAGTGGAGGAAATGCTGGGGCGAGCAGGAACACGGGCGAATTCCTCGCCCCGCCCTTCCTCCTTCACTGCTCGGGCACTGACTGTTCTCTTTAGGCAGAACAGTTTGAATGCCCAGGCATCCGCTTCTAGTCGTTCCTTTTGTCCCTTCAATCTGTCTAGAATACTGACTCTCAACCCTGAGTATGTGTGAGAATTACTGCACTGATAGGGCTGATGATAAAAGGGGAATTCGACTTTATCTGAAATGTATTATTTTTCTTATCTACAAACCAATGTTATCAGGTGGAAAATGTGACCAAGATGAAAACGGGTGTTAATTACATCAGCCTGCACTTTATTTGTTAAGTTTCTCAAAAGAAAGAATAACATTGAAATAATCTCAGCTCAGAGTTGAATATATTTAATGGGACAGTTAGAGAATGTTCGCACTTTGATAACATCCTCCAGAAGGAATTTGGGGAGCACAGGCTGAAAGCACCTGGGCCCTCCAAGAGTTGACATCCCAGGGCCTAACCTTGGCTCCACCTCTTTGTCTCCTGGCCATAGGACTATAGGGTCAACATCTTCCTGAGGCAGCAGTGGAATGACCCCCGGCTGGCCTACAACGAATACCCGGATGACTCGCTGGACCTGGACCCGTCCATGCTGGATTCCATCTGGAAACCTGACCTGTTCTTTGCTAACGAGAAGGGGGCCCACTTCCACGAGATCACCACAGACAACAAGCTGCTGAGGATCTCCCGGAACGGGAATGTCCTCTACAGCATCAGGTAAGTTCCACATAGGTTCATCCCCTTCCTACCTCAGAAAGTGCCTTGTCCCATTGCCTCCTGGGAACGTACACTAAGAGGAGGGCTAAACAGAGGTGATCGGCCCTTGACAGCACGACACCTTTGCCAAATAGGCAGAGCCAGCTCTGTAATTTACACTCAGCAAGTAAGAATAAAGTACCACGGGAAGTCCTAGGAGCAAGGGGTTCATTCTAACCAGGGAGATGAAGAAAGCACCCGAGGGAAGGTGGGGTTAAAGTTATGCCCCCAAACTTACCCAGAATTTCAATAACATAAGATGGAGAAAAGAGTATTCAAAGACAATGACCAAAAGCAGGAGCATTCAGCTATGTAAGACGAATAATTTCTAGAGCTCTACGGCACAACATGGCACGTATAGTTAACAATACTGTAATGTACACTCCAAAACGTGTTATGAGGGTTGATCTCATTAAATGTTTTTACCACGATTTTCTTTAAAAAATAGCAGGAGCAAAAGCACAAAACCTGAAATATTCCAGCGACTTCAACATAAATGGGCCTGCCAGGTGGGTGGTGCTGCTCACAAGTATTAGTCAGAGCTGCTCCATCCCTTCTACAAATGCTTTCTGTCCTCCATACCTTGCATTGACTCTAGGAAGCTGGGACCCCCTCCCACCGCTGCAGAGTATCTGGCAGATACCGGTTAAGGGCAAACTTCCAGAGTCTCCTGCTATCCCTCTCCACCTAATTCCAAAGCTCTTCCCCCAAGGCATAAAGAAATGAGCAATGTCCACTTTATTCTTGCACCTAATGTACTTAATAGGCTGGGTACTTTACGTATGTTATGTCTTAGTCTCCTAATGACCGCATGAAGTAGGTTTTCTTATGGCCATTCTGCAGATTAGACAAGTGAGGATCTGAAAAATTTAAGTAACTTACAAAAGTTCCCAAAGCTACTTAGAAGCAGAGCCTAGATTCCAGTGTGAATCTGATGCCCACTCAGAACCTAAGACAGGGCGTGGCATTCAACAGGCACTCAAATATTTGATGAATGAATGAAGATGTTTTTATTTGAAAGAGCTTAAAGGGAGCAGTGGCCCTTAAATGACTCCCTCGCCCCCTCCAATTCCTCAGGGGAATAAATCTTTTTACTCCCATTAGAAGATGAACTTTAAATGTCCAGGCCCACAGTGAAGGCTGCACAGGTCCTGATCCTCAGATGCGACTGAACTTAGAGTCCCTCCCGAGAGCAGGCTGGGTGGAGAGGGGCCTTAGAAATCTCAGCAGGGAAAGTAGGCAGCAAAGAGGGGCAGGCTGAGAGGAACCAGAAGCAGACACAGTCTTCCTCACCTAAGAGCCCATCCAACCCAGTCCGCATCCAGAGTGGAACGGTGATAAGCTCAAGAAATGGCCATCAAGGCCCTGGCTGGCTGGCAGGAAGGGAGGGGTCGCCCTGCTTGAGTTTTGCTGCTGCCAGGCTAGTTTCATATGTCTTGGAAGCTAAGTCCCAGTACATCGTGACAGAAGGACAAATCAGCAGAAAGTGATATTCCCAAGGTCATTCAACTTCAGGAAATTAACCTAGTGTGACAGCTGTCCCACTTTGGAGCTTTTATCCTCAGAAATCAACTGCATTCGCTTTCTCTTCACTTTCCCCCTCCTTCTTCCACACCCTTCTCTTCCCTTCTTCGCCTCCCTCGCCCTTCTCTTTTCCCCCTCTTGCTTCTACTTTGTGCTTAAAGGGACCCACATCCAGAGTTGTGGGTGTGAGTTGGAGGAGGTTCACATAGGGCCTTGTGCCTCACCATGTGCGGCCAACGTGTCAGCAGCTAAGTGCCACGATACCACCACCGATTAGGTGCCTTTCAAGAGAGCAGTGCTGGAAAATCTGCCAGCCAGCACATGAGTTCAGCATCCCAAGGCCAGGAGGTGTGGTTTTAAATCCTGCCTGAGCCATCAGCTTGCCACGTCACCTCACCACGAACGAGTCCCTACCTATCCTTCTCTGCACCTCAGTTTTCTCACCTGCCATGTGAGGGATTTGGCCTGATGATCTAAGGCTCTGAGAGCCTTTCTTCTCCATTCCCTGCAGCAGGTGCTCAGATGTTGGCAAAGCCTTTCAAGATGAAGCCTTGTATCCCAGCCGGAGCTGCAGACCTCAGATTCTATTAAGGGGACTTCCTCTGGGTCTGAGGCTGCAGCCTCTGCAAGGGTTGAACAACCCAAAATAAACACCTAGTCCAGAAGCTTGGGGTGCCCACCAACTTCCCAGCTGACCCCAGCATGAGCCCGCAGATGTGAGCCAGCTGTGTCTGGACACCCAGAAGGCAGAAGAACTTTGTAATGACTTTTGAGGAGCCTAGGGTGTGTAGGGAGGCCGCCAAGAACCACTTACAGCACCTGCTGCCGGTGCACCTGGGGATGCCTGAAGCCTGATACTGCTCAACTGAAAATTCAGTCTCTGCACCTATCTGAGGGCTCTGCAGAAAAGCAGGGAGGGGGGCGGGGGCGGGGCAGGCCCTGGCCTCCAGGCCTTCAGGTAACTTGCTAAAGGCAGGTCTCTAGAAGCCAGACAGACTCCAAAGAAATACAGAAGTTCCACTAACTCCGTGTGACCTCAAACAACCTACTTTATCTCTCTGAGCCTACATTTCCATATCTGAAATGTGGAAATACACATATATTGGTTCGAAAAACACTAGAGTTCCCTAACCTCCTTGACCTCTCCTAGATAACTAGTTTCTGGTGGTAACGAGAACAGAGGTACAACAGTTTCTCTGGCCTGTGGATCCAGTGTCATTAAAATCCCTTCTCTTCCCAGAATCACCCTGACACTGGCCTGCCCCATGGACTTGAAGAATTTCCCCATGGACGTCCAGACATGTATCATGCAACTGGAAAGCTGTGAGTCTCTTGCATGAGGCCTCTATGAAGAACCAGACTCCCCTTTACCCACAGGACCAGCAGAAATTCCCACACAGCTGCTCCTAACCACTGGACCCCCAAGAGATTACTGTAATAGTCCAAAATGCCAGATGAAGGGCTTTGCTCTTAGAAAATGCATTAGAAACATAACTTCCCTTACATTTTCTGCCTGGGATCCAGCTTTGGAGCCAGCGGCATTCCCCAAAGAGGCACACAGTTCCATGTCCCTTGTGAACGGCTCTCCAGGAATGAAGGAGAAATAGCTTGAATAAGTCATGGTCCTTGAACTCACAGGGATGCTGACTCCAGCAGGGGAGATAGATGACTAAGACAGGGAAACAAGTGGTGTGTTGTTCGAAGTACAAAACATGGTGGCCTCATGGCAGAAAGCGTCCTTCTGCTGTTTTTTAATGACTTGGAGTAAGCTTTATAAAAGAGATCAAGTAAACCGGGATTTTTACAGATGGGGTAGCTGACTTCTTTGACTGCTAACACAGAGAGCAATCTGACAAGTTTAAAATCTAGAATTAAATGGAAGGACATAGAGGTTCCTCATGGACTTGGAGGAGCTAAAAGTACAGAAATGAAGGCAGAGCATGTAGGCAGCAAGAAGTGATGGACCAGCCCCTTGAAATGCCACTGCTGAAGGGAATCAGCACCAGCCGACTCTGAACCTTCTGTCACTTCACTCAAGAGTCAAAGTCCTGAGAAAGAGAGTCAGATTAGTCGAGTTGAGTCACCATCTCACATCCTGACCCTCAACTGACAGGTCCACGGCAGTAGCATTTCACAGAAAAAAAAAAAGTCAGCTGTGAGCAAAATAGGTGTACAGGCACAAAGAGTGACTGTCAACTGATTGTGTGGAGGAGGGGGCAACAGAACAAGCTAAGTTAGGATGCTGGGAGAGGTAGGAAGCGAGGTAGAAGGGTTGTGAGGTAGATGTAAATTAAACCAGTTTTAACCTCCTTTGTGAGGGGGAAAAAACATGGTTTCATGAGTTCCATCAAGTGTCTGATGCCTCTCTGTCTCTGACCCTAATCAACCCTGACATGCTTCAAATAAGTGCTTCTTGGTGATGACTGCTCCTTCTTCTGACCCTATCCCAGTTGGATATACCATGAATGACCTCATCTTTGAGTGGCAGGAGCAGGGAGCTGTGCAGGTGGCAGATGGACTAACTTTGCCCCAGTTTATCCTGAAGGAAGAGAAGGACTTGAGATACTGTACCAAGCATTACAACACAGGTAGGTGCGAGGGACCACTCTCCTCAAATCCCAACCCCAGTCAGGGCCGCATTCATTCAATCATTGATTCAACAGATCTTAAGAGGTACTCGTGATGGAGCAAGCTCTGTATTTATCACCTAGTGGTTAAGAGAATATCCTGTGAATCCAAAAAGTGGCTCTGCTGTGTTCTTCCTGTGCGTCCTGGGGCAAGTAACCTAAGCGTAGGCCATGCCTTATTACAAGGGAAGCTGGGAGAGATACAGTCTTTATTCCAGGTAGCATTGATTCAACAGATCTTAAGAGGTACTCGTGATGGAGCAAGCTCTGTATTTATCACCTAGTGGTTAAGAGAATATCCTGTGAATCCAAAAAGTGGCTCTGCTGTGTTCTTCCTGTGCGTCCTGGGGCAAGTAACCTAAGCGTAGGCCATGCCTTATTACAAGGGAAGCTGGGAGAGATACGGTCTTTATTCCAGGTATGCTTAACTCAAATTGGACCCTATTTCCTAAAGCAGAAGGAGGAGCTGATATTGGGAGGATATCTAGCAGTCTTTGTCACACAGGAACTAGCATTTCTGACAGAGCAAAGGCACAGAGAATGCTCACATCAGACCTCAGCAGAAGGAAGCTGAGAGGTGGCACTGAAGATTAGTCAACAGTAAAGCTGGAAAAGGTCCGCTAGACCGTGAGCTACAAGGGGGTGTGGAGACGCACCACTATTCAGCTCAGTTCTATCTCTCGTGCCTAAGCACAGCTTTTGTTAGAAGACTGAATACAGGAATGAAGTGGAGCCGGATCAAGGCTGACTTTGCATACCGTTTCAGGCTGGGAAGGAGCTCACGGAAGCACTGTGGAAGAAAGTCAGTCGGCTCACATGCCAGCCGGAGGGCTGGGTAGGAGGCCGCTGTCTGAACCCAGCTGGGTAAAGCTGGTAACAGCGGCCACAGAGAGGAGGACGTGAAGGAGAGGGACTGAGCAAAACCACCGTGGGGGCTGGTGCAAGGAGAAGGCCCAGAGAAAGGGCAAGTAGCCTCGGCTCTGGTCTGTCTAGGACAGCTGCCTCTTTCTGGGTGACCCTGGAGATGTCTCAGAACCTCCAAAGAAACTCTCTTCATTGCTGGACAGGCTGAGACTCAGATAAAGGCACTCCCATTAACGGCCAAGAGAGCAAGGACTCTCATAAATTAAATAATCATAACTGACTCTCACATACCACAGCCCTTTACTATTTATACAGCATTTTCCCAACATGATCTCATTTGTTCTTTGCTACTCACATTTAGGTGAGAACTGTGTTCTGTCCTAGGCCCTGTGGATATAAGGAGAAAAGACTTACAAGGCCCTGACCACATGGAGCATACGGTCCAGAGAGCTCAAAGAAATCCACTAGTAACTGCTTCAGGGGACAGGAGCTGATACCCTACCATGGGACTGGCTCTGCTCCAGTTCCTGGGACACACAGATAGGGAGAAGACCAGCTGCCCATAACCTAGTGCAGAGGACAGAGACAGCAAGAGACCAACTTGCCCACTCACTCATCGTATTATGCCTTAAAGGCTCTGAGGATCGGGTGAGCAGAGCTGAAGAAGCACAGAGAAAAAAGAGGCATTCTGCTAGGGAAGACTCCACATTTAAACTGCTGTGGAGGAGGATTTCTTTGGCTGGTTGTGAGAAGGAATAAGGGCATTCCAGGAAGAGGGATTAGCAGGATCAAGTGTGAAAGCATGCTCAAGCAAGGGATGGAGTGTAGGGGGCCATGATTAAGGTGAAGAAAGACAGGCTAGAGCTGCATTGTTAAGGGCAGACTAAAGAGTCTGAACTTTCCCCTGCGGGTAATGCAAACCTTCTTGTATGAGAGAAGGAATGAAGGGTTTTACAGAGAAAAGTAACAGGATCAAGTCATGTTTCGGGAAGAAAACTGGCAGAAGGATAGAGAGTGGTCCACTTAGGCCCACTCTTAGGAACAAAATAGTGATGAGGAGGAGGATGGCAACTGGCATTCTTGAGCACTAACGATGTATAAGGACGGTGCTAAGTTCTTTATAGGCGCCATCTCATTCTATCATCACATTAACCATTTGAGTAACTATGTGAGGTAGGTATTATCATTTTATTATTATCATCATCATCATAATCATCATTGTCATTGTCATCAACATCATTATCCCCAACTTAACGTAATCAAGAAAACTGAGACGCGGAGAGATTTCAACACATGCCTAGAAACACAGCTGGTGTGAGGCTGAACCAGGACTCCAGCCAAGGGTGGTCAGACCTCAAAGCCCTGTTCCTATCCACTAGGCTATTCTGCCTTCTCGCTATAATTTCTTACAGGTAAATTCACCTGCATTGAGGCCCGGTTCCACCTGGAGCGACAGATGGGCTACTACCTGATCCAGATGTACATTCCCAGCCTGCTCATTGTCATCCTCTCGTGGATTTCCTTCTGGATCAACATGGATGCTGCACCAGCCCGTGTGGGCCTGGGAATCACCACTGTGCTCACCATGACTACCCAGAGCTCTGGTTCCCGAGCATCCCTGCCCAAGGTACATTCTACTGCATAAGAGCACAGATCACCTGAACAGATAAGGAGAACACTCATCTCTCTTCCCTGCCCGAGATAAGAGGAACATGAGAAATTAGTCACTAAGCAAGGGATCTACTACACTTGGCAGTATCTACTACACTTGGCAGTATCCAGCATTGTTATCCCTCAAACCTTTCCTCCAAATTTAACATTATGTTCAATACAGTTGCCAGATACCACATTCTGCTCCATTCTCCACCAACGCACATTTTACTTCGTTTACTATTAACACTCAACTCTACCTCCTCCTCCACTCACTTTTAGTGCTAAGAATAACATGCCTCTCCTTTCATCATCAATGACAGATACTCTGTTGGGAGTCTCCAAGACCACTCCCATGTTCGGAGATTTGATAGGACTCACAGACTCAGCATATAGTTGTACTAAGGATACACAGCTGGACAAAAGGGGACGCAGGCAGAAGAACCCATGGGCAGGCTTCCTTGCTTTCTCCCTCCCATGAGGGACAACACAGAGCACTCTCTTACCCCAGCAACAAAAAGGCAGCCACCATATGAGATGGTTCTGCCCGGAGACACAAAAAGAAAAACTGTTTTGAAATTCATTTAAGGTTCGGTACCAAAGGTTTTTACCGGGGGCTGGTCACCCTCCGCCTCGCACATACCAAACTTCCAGACTCCTAGAAGGAAAGCAGAGGTTCAGCATAAATCGTATCATTTGTACAGGCAGTCTAGTCACTTAGGTAAAATGGCAGCACTCCCCAAATCCAAGTTCCCAGATGTCGACCAAGCTTACAAGCAGGTCCTTCATAGCAGCAGCCTCACGCCTGCCACGTTAACCCTTTTCTGCACACGCTTCAATCTGGTTCTTATGTTTCTAATGTTAACACCACATTCTGCTACATTCACTATCAACTCTTGAACCATATGCTGCTCCATTCGCTATTAACCCTACACACAACATTTCACTCTATTCCCTATTAATGCCAGAAACACACATTCTGCTCCATTCACTCTACACTAGACACAACATTCTGTTCCATTATTCTAACACCAGACAGTGTTCACTTCATTCATTATTGACACCACACACTAATTCTCCTCCAGTCCCCTTCACAATACATGCAACATTCTGTTCCTTTCACTGTTAACACTAGACCTCACATTCTGCTCAATTCACTTTTACCATTAGACATAACATTCTGCTTCATCTACTACCAAAGCCAGACACCACATACTCCTCCGTTCACTCATATTTAAGATCCAGCATCCTGCTCCTCTCACTGGGAATGCTGAATGCTCCATTCTGCTGTGCTCTCTTGTCATGCAAGGCACTGCCTTCTCTTACCATCCATACTGTCACTGAGACACATTCTGCTTTAGTCACTCAACACTAGACACAACCTTCCACTCTGCTACTAATGCCAGACGCCATACTCTGCTCCACCCAATCTTACGCTAAATGCAACATTCTGCACCATTTCCAAATAATGCCACACTTAACATCGTTTTGATACAGAAAAATTGAAATAATACACGATGAACACCCTAAAACCCTTCACCAGGATTCTCATTGCTATCATTTTGCCACACCTACTTTATCTCAGTCTCTATATAGGTAGGTAGTTCGGTAGGTAGGTAGGTAAGTAGGTAGGTAAGTAGATAGATGCAATTTTTGCTCAAGCATTTCAAGGTTACAGACATCATGACAATTCACCTCTAAATAAAGAGTAAGAATCACAATGATATTATCACATCTAAAAAATTAACATTAATTAAATAATCATTGATTTATAAATAATGCCATAATTTCACCTAATATAAGCTTTCATTTAAAATCTCCCAATTGTCCAAAAAATGTCATCAGTGGACATGTTAAGGAATCCAGTCAAGGACTCCATAGATTCACATTGCATGTGGTTGCTCTTTTAATCTACAAGTCTCCCTACATTTTTGTTTTTCATGACGTTGACTATTCCATTAACTTTTAATATGACGTTGCACTTCATTTGCCATCAACATTAGACACCATCCTCTCTACTCACCCTGACCACAGAACTCAACAATCTGCCCTTTGCACTATTAACACTAGACTTTGCTGTTACCACCTGAAAATACCTTCTGCTCTGTTCATTTGTACCAGCAGAAACACTCGGCCTCCTTTCCTTGTGTGAGACTCAATATTCTGCTCCACTCGTTAACACTAGACTCGATATGTGGCTCAATATTGCTAACACTCAACATCATATTCTTCCTCATTCACTTTTTTTTTTTTACAGCATAAAATTCAGTGGTATTTAATATACCCTCACCACTATCGATTTCCAGAACATTTTTCATCACCTCAAAAATAACTCCCCATCCTCATCACCTGTCACTGGCCAGTCTCTGGCAACCACAAACCTAATTTCTATTTTTATGGATTTGCCTATTCTGAATATCTCAAATAAATGGAATCGTATGATATGTCCACTTTTGTGACTTCTACCTAGCATAGTTTTCAATGATCATTCATATTGGAGCATGTATCGTACATCATTCCTTTTTATGGGTGAATATTCTCTTGTGTGGTATATCACATTTTGTTTATTCATCAGTTGATAGAGATTTGGGTTATTTCCACTTTGGGGCTACTAAAAATAATGCTTCTATAAACATGTATGTTTTATGTGACATGTTTTCAACTCCTATAGGTATATATCTAGGAGTGGAATTGTTGGGTCATATAGGAACTATATGTTTAAGTTGAGAAATTGCCTATTTTCCAAGTGGCTACACCATTTCACAATTCCACCAGGTTCTAATTTCTCCACATCCTTTCCAACACTTATGTCTTTTTGATTATAGACATTTTAGTGGGTATGAACTGGTATCTTGCTATGGTTTTGATTTGCATTTTCCTAATGACTAATCACGTTAAACATTCTTTTCACGTGCTTATTGGCAATTTCTATATCTTCTTTGAAGAAATGTCTACTCAAATCTCTTGCCCACTTTTTAATTGGGGTATTCTTTTTACTGTTGAATTGTAATAGTTCTTTGTGTATTGTGGATTTTAAACCCTTATCAGATATACATAATTTGCAAATATTTTCTCCTATTCTGTACGTTGTCTTTTTGCTTGATTGATAATGTCCTTTATACATAAAAGTTTTTAATTTTAATGAAGTAAAATTTATCTACTTTTGCTTTTGTTACTTGTGATTTGGGTACCATATTCAAGAAACTAATGCCCAATGCAAGGTGACAAAGATTCACACCTATTTATTCTAAGAGTTTTATGGTTTACTCTAGGTTTTTAATCCATTTTATTTTTATAAATAAATGTGGTATGAGAGAGGGATATCATTCTTTCACATGTAGATATTCAGATGTCCTAGCACCATTTGTTGAGAAGACTGTTCTTTCCCTCCAATGAATTTACATCCTTGTCAAAAATCGATCGACTATAGTTGCACGGATTTATTTCTGGATTCTCAGTGCTATTCCTTCATACATGTTTATCCTAATGCCAGTACCACGCTGTTGATTACCATAGCTTTGTAGTAAGTTTGAAATTAAGAAGTGTGAGTCCTCCAACTGTGTTCTTTTTAAAGGTGGTTTTGGCTATCCTGGGTCCCTTGCATTCCATATAAACATAAATATGAAATTTAACATCAGCTTGTCAATTTCTGCAACAACAAAAAAAGGAATTTTTATTTAAAATGCAAAGTCAGAGTCTCTAGGTTAATTTGGGGAGTACTGGCATCTTAACAATATTAAGTCTTCCAATTCAAGAACATGGGATGTCTTCCCATGTATTTGGGTCATATTTAATTTCATCTGCCTTCTAAACCCCATAGTTTCAATAAGAAACCTGTTAATCTTATTGATGATCTCTAATACATGATGAACTGCTTCTCTCTTGCTGCTTTCAAGATTCTCTGTCTTTGGCTTCTGACAGTTTGATTATTGGATCTCTTCTGAGTTTATCTTGCTTAGAGTTTACTGAGCTTCTTAGATGTATACATTAGTGTTTTTCATCAAGTTTGGGGAAAATTGTGGCCATTATTTCTTTAAGTAGTCTTTCTGTCTCTTTTTCTTCTCTCCTTCAGAGATACCCATTAACTGTATATTAGTGTGCATAATGGTTCCCCATAGGTCTCTGAGGCTCTGTTCATTTTTCTTCATTCTGTTCCTCAGACAGGATAACCTCGAGTTCACTGATTCTTTCTTCTGTCTGCTCAAATATGATGCTGTTCCTCTCTAGTGAAATTTTCAGTTATTGTACTTTTCAACTCCAGAATTTCTACTTGGTTCTTTTGTATAATTTCTATCTCATACTCTACTTGGTGAGAACTTGTTCTCAAACTTTTTTTTTAGTTGTTTAGACATAGTGTCCTTTAGCTATTTGAACATATTTAAAATAACTGATTTAAAGTCTTTATTAATTCCAACATCTGGGCTTTCTCAGGGGCAGCTTCTTTTGACTGCTTTTTTTTCTTATGTAGGGACCAGTCTTAGCTAATCTGAGCTGCTATATCAAAGTACCATAGACTAGGTGACTTAAAAACAACAGAAATTATTTCTCACAGTTCTGGAGTCTGGAAGTCTAAGATCAGGGTGCCAACACAGTCAGGTTCCAGTGCGGACCCCCTCTTCCTGTTGCGAACTGCCAGCTATTATTGTATCTTCACGTGGTAGAAAGAGAGGTAGCTAGCTCTCTGGCCTCTTCTTATAAAGGCACCAATTCCATTCATGTGAGCTCTACTCTCATGTCATGACATAATTACTTCCCTAAGGCAACACCTCCAAAAACCATCGCAATAGAATTAAGATTTCAATATTTGAAAGGGGCAGGAACACAAACATTCAGCCTATTGCAGGGTCATAAGTTCTTGTTTCTTTGCACCTCTTATAATTTTTGTTAAAAATTGCACATTTTACAAAATATAATGTGGCATCCCTGGAAATCAGAGTCTCTTTCCTCATGATTTGTTGTTGCTGTTGCTGCTGCTGTTTGTTTAGTAACTATTTTAAACTAATTCTGTAATATCTATATTCTTTGTTGGGTCAGGACAACTTTATTCTTTGCTATGTGAGCAAAGACAATGAAGTCTCTGTTCTGTTAGCTTGGTAGTTAGCTAAAAATTGAAGAGATTCCCTTGAATGACTTGAACCTATAAATCTCACAGCCTTTACCTAGGGGCTCTGTGTATATATTAGAAAACAACTTCAACATTCAGTCAGGGAGTTTATAACTTTCCTTAGCCTCCACTTTCTGCTTGCTCGGCACATCAAGGTTAGCCAGAGTTGAGCACTAAGGACCCTCTCAGGTCTTCCCTTGGCTTGCACAAGGCCTAAGCATGCACACGGAGTCCTAGGAATACTCAGAGCTTTCTAAAGCCCCCTAAGGACATCTGATTCCCCAGCTTTTCCTTTAAAGTTTTTTGATCAACCTGTTTGCTTCAACTGTTACGTACTGCCTCTGGATGACCTGATATTCAACAATTGCCACGAATGCCCCCAGGGAAAATGCTGTTCACAATGGGCCAGCTCCAAGTCAGGCAAAGACAGGCTTCTGAGTGGGGGTCTTTCAGTGAACCACAGGGCAGATCAAATAATGACAACTCTCTGGGAATGGAGCTTTAAAGAAGCTCCAACGCTGTTCTGCCACATTCACTGGCTTCCAGGATTCTGCTGGTTTTCACTGTACTTGCAGACTATTGGTTTTCAAGGCTAGCATGGAGCTGGGGATGGGAGGATAGAAACAGGGCAATTTAAAACACCACAAAGCCCGAACGGAAATGAAAACATGTCCACACAAAAAATTGTACACAGAAGTTCATAGCCACATTATTCATGCTAGCCAAAAGATAGAAATCACCCAAATGTCCATCAGTTGATGAATAGATCGACAAATTGCTATATCCACGCAATGGAATGTTATTAGGCCATAAAAAAAAAAAATTAAATACTGATACATTCTACAGTATGGATAAGTTTTGAAAACATTATGCTAAGGGAAAGATATACATCAAAAAAGGCCACCTATTTATTATTCCATTAATATAAAATGTCCAGAACTGAGAAATCTATAGAGACAGAAGTAGATTACTGGTTGCTTAGGACAGGGGGTTGGGGAACTGAGAGAATAGGAGGATGATAGGTAAAAGTTACTAGGTTTCTTTTTGAGGTGATGAAATTTCTAAAATCGACTGTGATGATGGTCACACATATCTATGAATACATAAAAACCATCAAATTGTACACTTTACGTGTGTGCGTATTGTTTGGTATGTAAATTATATCTCAATGAAGCTGTTTTTAAATGCCACAAAGCTTGCTGTTCTTACTGAGATTCAGCTGTTTTTCTTAAATAAACGCTCACAGGATTGGTGTTAGCCTTTGGCTAATTAACAGAGCCCTGAAAACGTTTATTCTGATCGTTTTTGCTGGTGTTCATGTTGCTTTTACGAAGGAGAGAGTTTTCAAAGATCTTACTGCACCATTTTCACTGACGTTCTCCATTTTAACATGAGGTGCCTGTTCTTATCACCCTTAGACTAAACACAGCATTCTGTTCCACTAAATAATAATGCCAGATACACCATCCACCTCTCTTTAGTGCTCTTCTAAGAACAGTACTCCATTCTTCCCAATATTATGCCCAGTCTTCTTGATGCATTTTTCTTGTTTTCCTCTGCATCCTCCATGCTGAGGAGGGTACAGCAATGGGTGATGGTGGGAGTTACTAAAAAGCAGAAAACGTTCCACCATACTAAGTATTTCGCTCTCCTCTACCCTCACTTTCCCCCACCCCACTTCAGGTGTCCTATGTGAAAGCCATTGACATTTGGATGGCAGTGTGCCTACTCTTCGTGTTCTCGGCCTTGCTTGAGTATGCTGCTGTCAACTTTGTGTCTCGACAGCACAAAGAGCTGCTCCGATTCAGGAGGAAGCGAAGACATCACAAGGTAGGCCTTTAGGTCACTGCCTAAGGAGGGGCAGTTGGCGGCAAACAGAAGAGCTCCAGGCAGCCTTGTCTTGTCATATCTGTTTGATTGGACCATTGTTCTCAGTGGGTAAGGCAGGCACAAAATAGGGATTAAAGTCCTAGCTTCTCCTCCCATAAATAATTGCGCTGATTGGGACTATGAGCAGAAACTCTTCCAACCATAATAATACTACAGAAATTATCAGGTTACACCTGAAGACAGAACTGATGGAGCAAATGCTAATGGGGCCAAGATAACAACTAGCTAAAAACCCAAAGCATGGCAGGCTGAGAGATGTTTATGAGTGTTTTCTGCAAGGTTGTATTATTTCCATGCAACCTGGTTTGCAGAAGGAAATTGTACCACGAAAGGTAAAATCCTAGAGTAAAATGTCCAGGTTCCAGGCTTTGTTTCCTACCTCCAAAAAAGAGACATCAAGCAAAATCCTACCCAAGAGTGGATTCTCTCACTGAAGGGCTGAATAAAGAAAAATCTGTCAGGCCATCTCTGAAAGGTCACCAATCTCCATTAGCTCGGAGGTTGTGTTCCAACCAGCAAATGCCACTAGAGAGTGTGCAGCCTATAGGAGCACACAGGCTCCACACCCTGGTCCCTAACTTCTTCCTCAGGAGACCTTTCTTCTGGGGGTCACAGAACCTGCTCTTCTCTCCAGCCTCGGCTTCACATCACTTTCTCCTTTGCTTCTCAGATATACATATAGAACTTTAGGTATCTTGTTCTCGCCTCCTTGCTCTTCCAGTGCACTTTGCTTGGTATAGCCCACTCATTTTCCAGTTCTCGGCTGAGACATCTTTCCCCAGTATCTTAGTCAAGGTGTAGGTCCTAGATAGCAGTTCTTTTGCAAGGTTGTTGAGGATGGCCACGTAGGTAATAGTCTACAAGAACCCTTAGCCAAGTAGGCAGGCTTCTCTAAGCCATGCCCTGGCATGAACTGTATCAGCCAGAGGAAAGGACTCTAATTCCTATGCCCAAGAGGAGCATGCCTTTTTTCTAATTTGCACAAAGATGCTATGTGTGCTTGCAAAGGCCATGTACTAAGTGGACCTGGATTCTTTCCTTCTAAACATTTATATTTGATTTGTAATTATTCATTCAATGACGTCATTTTTTAATGCTTATCTCTTCCGCTGACTTATAAACTTCATAAGGACAAAGACCATGTCTACTCTTGTTCAGTGGTACATCCCTGGTGCCTAACACAATGCCTAATAGTGAGCATGCAATAGGCATTTGCTGAACAAATAGAAAGGAATAAACTAATAGACAAAGAAATTCAGACAGCCTGCCTGGAAGTTTCTCCAGCAACAGATTAGGTCAACCAAGAACCCATACACTATGACCTGTCAGGTCCCACGATACACCTGCCACACATCAAGCCCCTAGCAGCTATAGATTAACCTACTTAAAACAGCTGAAAACCCAGCTACAATGTGCTATGACAAAGGACTCTGCCTCTTTACTCTCTTTGGTATGTAACTTCAAACTAGCCTCTTTCTGGGCTCAGTTTCTCCTTCTGTAAAATGGACTAAATGGCATAATGGGGGACTGTGGTGAGGATAAAATCAGATGCCAAAGTAACTTTAAATATTGCTCCTGCCTCACAAGTTCCAGGGATTAAAATGATTACACAGGTAGAGATTTCCATCAATATGTTTCTTAAATATTAGCAATCTGATTCAATTAACTTCTAACAGTTTACCATGGGCAGAAGGCAGACATTCCAAGTCAGAAGATGTCTATGGAAGTTCAGATATAACCTGCACTGGAAGAAGAAACTATCTTGGGTGCAGCAAGCTAGACAGGACTTCTTAAAAGACCCCTAGTTTTAGTCCTTCCATAACTGTCATTGGATACCTAGCCTCTAACTCTTAAAATAATCTAAGCAAGGAACTGACCAAAAACAACTATCTCTGGGATTTACCTTTTATTTGTCTTTTTATCCAATGGGCTAGTGGATTTTTGCATTTCCCTCTGCTAAAAGGTTAATACATTTGTTGAAGAGACACTTATTTGGGAAGACTAAGTCCAAAATAATTGGCTAGCACCAGGCCGCTAGATGGTACACTGCACAATTCCAGAGGGCCTTATCTGCACGAACTAAAATGTGAATGGAGCCCCCTGCAGATGTGTAATATGGTGGGCTCATAGTACGTTCAAAGGCTGCCTCCACCCTTGCCAAATCTCTACCACTTTTAAACACTATAGGAAAACAGAAGCTTTTTCTCTAGCCAGGGAAAGTGTGAATAAGACCACAAGCCAGATTTGATCAGATTCTCCTGCTCAGTTCCCTCCTTGCTTTCTCACGGCATGTTAGTGCTGGAAGAGCTCCGAGCGCATCCTGTCCGTTCCTCCTGTGCCAATGACAGCAGCGAGGAGCCAGGCACCAGGATCACGGCGGCACTGATGGCAAAGGCAGGCGAGGTGCTGGGGGACCCATGGTTCTTCTCAAAACATCGACCATACAGCATCGCTTGATGATCTGTTCACCAATGCTTCCATCTTGAAGCAGATAAAAATAGTCCTGCAGTTACTGGATTTTAAATAAGAACTAAGATTGATCCCAAGGTGGAGGTCAACATGCAAATATTTTTAATTTCACCAGTAGTGTCTTAAAAATATGGAATAAGGTGCCAGCATTTAAAAATCACGCTTCTAATTTCACTCAAAAAATCACAGCCTCTGGTCCCACTGGATGCACACCCCACATGGTACTGGTGCACTGGAACTGCCTTCGGTAGAGAATGCATTTTCCAGTTTACCACGGTCCCGTCGAACTGGATTGTTTTTTCAAACCAGCTCACTTCATCACTCACATTTCTCCTGCCTGGTCCCTTGTATGTGTTCGAATTAGTGTGACCTTGTTCCTAAGAGCTCTGAACTTGGTGCAAATGTCAGAAACTACAGAGACACCGAAACGGACTCATCATGAAGAAGAGCTTCCTTTGAAGTTAGCCCCTCTGGATGCGGCTTGTATTTTGGCTGTGTACGAGCCTGCACTGCAGAAACCTCCCTTTAGAAGGAAGTGTGCAGAGAGGATTTTAAGTCTCATATGGCGAGTGAAGAGGAACTAGCGGCGTGCCCGAGTTTCTCAGAGCCTGTGATCTCAACTCCCAGCATCCTCTCAGGTCACCTCATTTGTTGGGCAGAAAACATCTGTTTCTCGAATTTCCTGGCTGGCCTCATTAGTCAGAATATTAGGAAACCTAGGCGAGCCTGACTGGGCAGGCACACTACCACCCTCCCAGGGTTCTAGAGAACACGACTAGATTTCCCCTGCTCCATCCCCAAGCAGCTCCAGATGCAGCTAGGCATTCGTTTCCTGCCACCTGCTGGGTGGAAGAGAAATAGCAAGCCTCTGTCTAGTCGTTTCTAGGGAATGTCCCTTCTGGCTGCCTCCGGTCCACACACCTACCTCCACCCCTCCCGTTCCCATATTTAACAGATAAGGAAAGCAGAGAATAATTCACCCGAAATTATATAGAAAGTCAATTTGGTGCTTCTCTCTACATAACTAGAACCCAGTGAAAAGATTTTCCAACATCCCACCCTGCAGCAAGGGCCCATTTATGGCAAGCAACGGAGGTGGACCCAGTCCTCCTTCTAGGCCCAGAGTCCGGTAATTAACCAGCTTCCCCAACTCCTCTCCTTGGCCCTGATACAAACCCTCTACTGTTGCCATAATCATTGACAAACATTGATTGAGCACCTATTTGCCAGGCACTACAGCAATTCTTTTTTCCTCCACTTATGCAATGAGGATGTTAGGCCAGATTCATTCATTTGCCAAAGATTTCTTGAGCATTTATCGTATATCCCAAATCCTTGTGGTGCTGGTGCTAGGAATACAACCCATTAAAAAAAAAAAAAAAAAAAAAAGACTAGGACTGGTGAAGATATGCAAGTCAACACTTACTTATTCAACAAATATTGACTGTTTTCAGCTTACGTCCAAGAACTATGTTCATAAATTCCGTCCCCTGCCATATGCTTTGCACACCTGCCAGTTGTGTTGTACCTTCTCAGTCATCCCTGTGCATTCCCACACGCACTACCTTGCCTTACACGCACTACCAAAGGGCCCTTCCCCTTTGAACCTCCCCCTTTCCCAGCTCATAGTGATACTACCCTGTTCCTATGTTCAGCGCTGAGGGTGGAAGGAACAGGACAGACTTTGCCTCCGCCTTCCTGGAGCCTGCAGTCTAATGGGAGAGACAGACTTTAATTGAGGAATACAATGTGTTTAATGGCTGTAAAAAGGGTGGGGGAGATGTACAGGAACCTTATGGAGCACACAGCAGGGACACCTGGCCTATCTTTGCATTCAGGGCAGGCTCGTAAGAATTAGTTCAGTGAAAAAGAAGGAGTTGGAAGCAGGGTGGAGTGAGGAGTGTGTTCTAGGCTGAGGGGACAACTCAAAGAGAGGCCGAGTTAAAGAGAGGGAGAGGGAACATGGCACTTTTGAATGTAAGGAAATACTTCAGGGGGACTGGAGCACAGAATGACACATGAGACTAGAGAGGTAGACAGGGTCCAGGTCATCAAAGACCTTGTTTACCATCTATAGACTTTAATTATCCTGAAGTCAGTGTCAGCTTATTAAAAAGTTTTAAGCAAAAGATGACCAATAAGATCTGTTATAAGAACCCAGATGAGTTGCGGGTGGGCATAGGCTGAAGGCAGTGGGCAGACGATGCTGAAGTCGTGACGAGACGGTGACCTGACCTAGGGTGGCAAGAGTAGAGCTGGAGAGGCACCAGTGGCTCCTGCACTGCGTTGCTTCTTAGGCTGGCCCTGCCCTGCGCAGGAACAAGCAGACAGGGCTGCTCCTCTAAAAGCTCCCACTATCCAGGCGGGCGATGTGAGCTGATAAAGCTTCTCCAGAGCCACACCGTGAATCAACAGCTAAGCTGAGACTCTCAGTGCCACCTCAGAGCTCAAATGGAAAAAAAAAAAAAAAACAAAGCTAGACATGATGAGAGCAACAAGAGTGTCCCCATGATTCAGATTAGCGCAAGGTCACCATGAGGCAGGAAAAGGAGAAATCAGAAGGATAAGGGCAGCGGGCATTTTTGGTAGTGAGCGTACGCGGGGAGAGGTGGGAATGCACAGGGATGACTGAGAAAGTGCAACAAACTGGCAGGTGTGAAAAGCATATGGTGAGGAGAGAGAAAAAAGCCTGTAAAGGTAAGTTGGAGCCAAGTAATGAAGGCTCTTGAATGATAACTTGATAAAAACGCAGAGGTGTGTCTGAGGTCCCAACTGCCTGATGTGGGAACATGGAGGTAGGAAGCAGCTGTGGCTTCCCCGGCTGGTGAAATGGAGGTGAGGCCCACAGTTCTTGCTCCCTCCTGGACACTTGCCCCCTCCCCCCAACCCACCCACACACACACACACACACAGGAAAACATTATCTGGGGAATGGGGTGGGGAAAGAGGGCAAGGAGGCAACAGAGGCAAAGCAGGGGATCCCTCCAAATTGTCCCCTGGATTTCTAACAAAATGGCATTCAGAGTACGTGCTCGTCTATAATCTCTGATGGTCAAAAGAACCTTTTGAGGCAGTGGGAGGACTCTTAACCACCACGCATAGAAAAAAATGAAATAAAAAACCCTGAGACTCCCAGAAGAAGGTGACTTTCCTAACGTACAGCCAGCAAGTGACAGAGCCAACATTTGAACGCAGGTCTCGAGACCCTATGCCACATTCCTATCCCCTGGTCTGCATCTGTTTCAGCATGTGAGGGGCGCCCCTCTATAAGGCATAACTCCCCAGCCCGCTACAGCGCCTTCAGAAACCTGAAATGGTGCAGGCAAGCAGGGAGGTCCAGATGGGCATGGCCCGGCCCCCAGGGGAGTGCCTTGCAGGGAGGGTGCCCGGCCCCTGTCTTATTTTAAGTAGAGCCCCATGTTGAATCTATTCCAGGAGGATGAGGCTGGAGAGGGCCGTTTCAACTTCTCCGCCTACGGGATGGGCCCAGCCTGTCTGCAGGCCAAGGATGGTATCTCGGTCAAGGGCGCCAACAATAACAACACCACCAACCCGCCTCCTGCGCCATCGAAGTCCCCGGAGGAGATGCGAAAACTCTTCATCCAGAGGGCCAAGAAGATCGACAAAATATCCCGCATCGGCTTCCCCATGGCCTTCCTCATCTTCAACATGTTCTACTGGATCATCTATAAGATTGTCCGCAGGGAAGATGTCCACAACCAGTGACGGGTCCGGGATGGGGGAGGCTGGGAAAGCGCACAGTGAGAATAGCACAGGAATCTGAGAGCCTGAGGAAGTGAGGGGAAGAGAGGGAGGGGGCACACATGCACAAGTCTCTCTTTCTCTGCAGTATGTGCAACAGCAAAAGGCAGGGATGCATGAATCTTAGAACGTGGTACTATCTATTTACCCGGGAGCGGGCGGGTGGGAGGGGGGAGGGAAGAAATTTTCTAACATAGGAACTGAGGGGTCGGGAGGAAGGGAAGGGTTAAGGGTGGGGGGTGGGGAGTGGGGGGCATAACAGCTTTCAAAAATTTTGAGTCCACAGGCTGTGCAGTTTCCTGTTTGGAAGGAGAGTACAGTCTGCCCCAGAGCGGAAGGAAAGCAATGTAATATATAATATATATTCATGCTTAATATTAATGCAAAACCACAAGAACAAAAGATTTTTCTTAACCTATCAGCCTAGTAACTGCTTAAATTTTGAAAGTCACAGAAGTGATGGACAATTTTTTCCCAGAGTGGAAACAGTCACAAATAAGCTTGCTCTGGTGTGTGTCCCACATCGCGCCCCTGCAAATGCCATGCCTATCTTCAAACTGGCCCAGGTGGACACATGCCAAAAAGCCATTCTGCCTCTGCTTCAAGAGGGTTGTGCGGCCGGGGTACGGGTAGTGGAAATGGGAAAAAGTGGAGAGAAAAGAAGGGAGTGACTAAAATGAGGGGACACTTCAGAGGCCCAAGGATTGAGAATCAAGATAACCCCACCTCAGTCCTCATGTCTCAAGGCCAGAGATCACGCCTGCCCCCCTCTGAGCCCCGTCGCTTCTGTGCTTCCACATCCACCTCACCTACTCCCCACCACCACCCAGAAATGGCCGCCATGGTTTTCTCATCGTATTGCCAATATGCAATCTTTTTTATGGTTAAAAAAAAGTAACAATCTCAAGAAATAATATGCATAGACTGAGTGTAAACAGATGCACTTTTTTCAGATGTCTATTTTTTTGGAGAGTCTCTTTGGAATGGATTGCGAGTGGGTGTATATTGGGGAAGGTGGGGTCAGTGGGGTGGAACAGATTACATAGTGGTCCCACAAAGTGAAGTTTTAAGAGCTGAAAGGGAAGTATTGAAGCTGCGGCTAAGATATATACGGGTGGAAAGAGATAGCAGCGTTCAGAAAGTCTGTTCATCAGACTCTGACATATCATGTACCGCGAATAGCGTGGGAAGTTTGGGGGGATGACCCCATTATATTTTTATAAGTCTTTTTTTTTTCCTTTTTGGTGCTTTGTTTAGCTTTAACATTTAAGAAAGTCAGATGACTGTTTCTCTTTCCTTCTAACTCTGAAGTGCCAGATCTGTCCCAGGATAGCTAGGGCACCACAGAAAAAAAAAAAGGAGAGAGACCAGGAAATGAATTGTGAGGGGTGGGAGATCCTGCTGAGGGACACAGATGTTCACAGATGGGAGGTCTGCGAGGTAGATTGTAGAACTAAAGGGGGGAACTGTCTCCAGCAGCCCCTGCCCACTCTGTCAACACCGCTACGCCTGAAACGATGGCGCCTTTGTGTGTGGCGTTCTCCCAGCTTTGGTCAGTAACCAGTATGCCGGGGTTACACTTCTTCCTTTGCACTTTAGTGTCTTGGCTTTGGATCAAAGTAGTAAGTAGATGGCAAAACACAGCTGACAATCAGGGTTTGCACTGCGCAGCGTGGGTTTTCCCTGTATCTATTGAGTATCCCCAACTTGGGGCAGGACAGTGATGAGACAGACACTGGGAGTCTAACCCCTCCCTTTATAAAGCACCTTCCCATAGGGAAATTTCTCCTGTTCCCTGTGGCACAATAGCTGATGCCTACAGCTGTTCCAAAAGCAGGCCAAGACAAGGTTCGAGGGTGATTTAGGTAAAGAAAAGGCACTATGCAGCCAAAAAGATATGGCTTTGGGGCTTGAAGGATAAAGCTGCTTACATCCAGGTTCCAAGGTCAATGAGTCATTGCCTTCCTTTCTCTTGGCCTGTGTAGACTAGAAAGCTAAACTGTATTCTAGCCTTGGATGAGATGAGATAGAACCTAGAATCCTCTTTTCTAAGAAGCATTGAGGGACAGAAGCCAAGGAAGTAGGAGTCTCTCATCTAAGACCATCCTTTTACTCACCATAAATATGTGTCTAAAGAAGGAAGCTAAATAGAGGGACCTGAACAGCTACTACCAGTTCGAGTCTAGAATATCGGTCTTTGAGCTGCTTTGAGTATCTTTTATGAGCACTATAATCATTACTTTATTTAGGGAGGGGAAATAAACCTGGATTCTAAAAAGTACTGCATGAGTCTCTGGAGAGGCTAGTAGCCCCTTTCACTAGCACTTTATTCACTTGATTTAAAAAAGAAAAAATCATTTTTAATGAAGAAAACTAAAGATGCCCTTATCTATTACTGGTCTAAGTTCATAAAGTCTGCAGTCTAGGTAAATCAGGCATACAAAGGCTCTAGGCCTCTATCAGGGACTCGAGACAGTACCCATTGTTCTAAGACCTTGTGCCTCCTCTGAAACAGCAAAATCTTCAGTTTCAAACTGGACTCCTTGAATGAGGTGTCTTGACTCTCTCTGAGACAGAAAAATCACTAGGCCATTTGCCAGGGTCCTTAAACTTCTGCCACCATATTCAACTTGTGGACCCACTGGAAGCTGCCAGGTCTAAGCGACAGTATCCAACAGACAATAGGATCATCTCTTTGAGACACGGAGGGGGAATGTCAGCAAAATCTTCTCTCAGACTACTCCAAACTTGGTATTCCTCGCAGAAAATAAATGTGAGTGGTTGCATTACAGCAGTGAAAAAGATAATCTGAATTTTCATCCAGATACTAATACGCTGGGTGGCCTTGGGCCGATGGCTAAGCTTTAGTTTCTCTAAATACACAGTGGGGAGAGTAGTATAGGTGATCTCTAGCCCCCTCCTAGTGTTAACTGTTCTAGGTGCTTGAGCTGGTCTACAGGAAGTTCATTCAACAAAATGTTTAATGCCACTGATTTCTGTACCCTCCAGGTAGATGTGCACATAAATACACACACATACATGGACCCGCACAACTCTTACTGCCTTTCTTCTTTGGAAAATCTGCAGATTTGTTTTATCTTTTTGCTCTACTTTATCAAAAGAGAATAGTGGTGGGGGAAAAAAACATCACAAAATCAAAAATACCTTCATGAATTATGGAGCATGCTCAAGAAGACATAATCATTAATGTATAGATCGTAAGGATTTAGCATTGAGTTACATGGGTTTCATCATTATAGAAAATCGAACTAGATAATTTAGGCCAAATATTTCTTTAGGTGACTCCAACAAATAGGACAATACTCTCTTAATTTCCTGTTCACTTTTTGCACAAAGGATATTTTGCCTCAGAAATACACATGTCAACTGCTACTGTAGGAGAGAAAACTGATTTAGGTATAATGAGTGGTGTACTGATTTTCAAACCCTATACATGTACAGACCAGTATTTCTGCATGGAGGGAGAATTGGATATGGCATGGAGGAGGTGGTGATTTCACCCACCTCCAAAACTATAGTTAGTCCTAGGAGCCAAATTTAGGAGACACCAATTAAGCAGATAAGACTAGTAACTTCCTACTTATTAGTTTAAACATATCTCATTTGTTTCAAGAGCAGCCAAAATAAATGGCTCAGCTCTGCCATGCTCTGGTCCTTTCAAACACTCAAGAGCCCATTCTTAGCTAAGGCTATAGGGAGTGACCAAGGACGGGAGTGAATAGAAAGAAAAATGAGTGTGTGTGACTGTGTGTGTGTGTGATAGAGACCTTGAAATTAACTCTATTTTTAGTTCAAGTCTAGAAAGATAAAAGGTCATTTGATTCAAATTATTTTTTCTTCTAAGCTGACAATAAATAAGAAATGTATCCCTCTAAGAAGCTCACCAATATTTTTCATAGACTATTTTTTTAATACTGGGGAGAAAATAAATATGATGAGAGATAGTTCCTTTCCTTCAAAGAATAGTTTTATGAGCATCATTAAAAAAGAAATAGGGTTGTGTGAGGCTCCATGATATTAGATTGCAGAGTAGATTGGTGCCCCTGCTAAGCTGGCACCATCACTGATAACAGTCTTTTGTGAAAATTAGATTCCTTAGTTAATTGCAACACACTGAAATTGAAGGGAGTTGAGTTGTCATCGCGTCTGTAGCAACTGTCTCCTTAGCAGAAGCTGGCAAGCAGAGGGCTTGGTGGTGGTACAATCCGTATCAGCTTTAGGACTGGAGTTGAGACCTGAAATTTGCAGCTATTCCCCAGTCCAGCTGCACACCCAGCCCAGGGATGATGAATACCACTCTGCGAGTTATCTGATTTATTCAATGAGCACCTTCTGCACATTCTACCCACCCTCCCCCTCGACTCCGAGGAGGCAGGCAAAATCAGGATTCTCAGGTTAACTAGAAAGCTTGTACTCTGACGGGCTGGAAAGGTCTGCTGAGAAAGGGTAATGGATCTCTACTCGCTAATATAAAGCATTCTTAATTCATGAATCAAACCAAAAATTCTCTAAACAGGTAAGCAAGCAGGAAACATGTTCTTAAAATTTAGCTTTTTGTTATATCCCTCTACTAAGCCCCTTTCTATCAGAAATCAATTCCGGAAATTTGAATTATGAACCCTCCTATTTTCCTGCAGCTCTTATGAAGCCAGAAACAAGACTTAAGGAGTTAAAGTAATATGCCTTTTTTTGATTGAGCTGGCTTGCTTTTAACACCTTCTATCAGTGTAAGGAGAGCATATGCTGGAAGGCTCTGGTCTCACAGTACCCTGAAATCCCAGTGGATAGAAAGAAAATCTTGGGATTGGTTGAAGTCCTTGTAGATGTAGAGAACTTCTGAAAATCCTGAAATGCTGCCATCTCCACTCCAGCCAAATGTTCAGAGAATGAAAACAATGACCTTTTCCTGACTGTCTCAGCTGAAGATCTCAGGATATCAAGGACGAGCAGGGCACCCTGCAAACATCTCTCTCCCAGGCCGGAGTAATCTAGAATCCTGAGGGCCCTGACTAGATGATGCTTCTATCAATTTTTTATCCTGTTGCTTCCTTAAGGATTTCTCAAGCTATAAAGACAGCCGTGGCAGAAGATAGGTTTGCTCATATGTGGGTGTTATTTCATGCTGTTTTGATGGAGCTGTGTGGTTATTTAAAGCAATTATTAAGATGTTTTATCATTCTTTGGAACAGCAAAATGAGTTCCAAAGTAAAAATTATTGCCCAATAATCTTTAGGATCTTTAAGGCTTCTTCAGCTAGCATCCAAGCCATTACTTCTTCCCCCTTTGCTCGCCGCCGCCCCCAGCCTCCTCCTCCTGCCTCTCTGCCTACATTTCCTGTTTCATCAGTGTGTACATCTCATTTTGTGAAACTAAACTCTGTCAGAAGATGCAGGTTTATTTCTGAGGGAGTGAGGGGTGGGGGGAGCTAGAATAGATAGATGTAGTCGCTCTTGTCAGGTTAGTTTTAGGGTTTTGATTTCTATTTCTCCTCTTGCCCATGCATTTTAAAATTTCGCTGCTCTGGAAAATTTCCATTGGAACGTTGGGTCGAGAAGTCAGAGTAGAGAGAATGGCAAGCCAAAAATATACCCTTCAAAGAGCCCAGCGACGAAAATTATATTTTACATAAGGCCACTAACCAGCTACAGATCAGTACCAGCTACCTAATCGACATTTGCTGGCTGCACACAGATCCCAAGCATAATGGGTCTCATTCTCACACCTGCTTCACTATTACCTGCATTGCCTTGTTTTTGGCCTGCCTTTCTTCAGATTCAACTGTCTTCTTATGCAACTTCAGAAACCCAGCATCCTATTTAAATACACTCGCCTTCTGAAGTGGACAGAGGTCACTGGGAAGTGGGGTTCTTGTTCTGGTGCTCAGGCTCACCACAGAAACACAGGTAAGCTATGTCGCCTTTCTCTGGCCTGCTTACTCCCCTGTAAAAAGAGGGAGTTGAAGGAGATTTTTCAAAGCCAAACTTGAGATATATTCACGGGTTGAAGAAAAGGAGAAAGGGCATATCGTGTGTTGTGAAATGCTTCGTTGTTTCCCCATTTCAGTGTCGGGCTTGGAACCCTATCCCAGGCCTTCTGGTGGCAGGTAGGGAGAAGTTAAAAAAGAGGAGAGTCTTGTCCCTTGAGGAGATTATCATCTTAGTTTTTTGCCATGAAAGTCAAGGGATTTCACAGCACTGATGGATTTGCCTCTAATATTAGCTTCTCACCTGAGAATCCCACCAAACATCAGGACATTCCACTCTGGTATTTTAGCATGTATGACCTGTGAAGGCTGTAACCCACTTCCCATGGCAGTTGTTTGAATTCTCTCTGCCAGAGTCTCTGGAAGAATCAAAAAGAAAAGCATCAGAGCAGAACTTGTTTAATACGTCTAGGGGGATAACTGCACCTACTCCAAGTTCCCTCCCAGCCTGGTCCCCACCCCTCCATATACATAATTTGATCGTAACAAGAAAATTCCAGCAAGATTTAAGAATATTTTTCCCCTGTTTGTCCCTGTTACTTTAGCTGCAGTTACGGGCAGAAAAAGTGGGACTGCTCCAGACCATTGGGGAGGTTCATCTAAATTCATACCATGAGCTAGGCTATACTAATATATATATATATTTTATAGCAGGTATGGCTGGAGTTGGACCAGCTTTCTCCACCCTCCGCCCCCAAACAAAACCTCACCCTGGCAATGATGTTTCTGAAATTGCTTCCACACTCCTGTAGCTCCAACAAACACTCTTTATAATCAGAAAACACTGCTCCTGTCTTTGCCAACAGGAACATATTTATGCTTTATATCAATGGACTCTCTTCAAAATGTTTATAGGGTGACATGACAAATGATCTTCACTCTCCCTTCATCTGGCCCTGAAATTAATGAAAATATTGCAGACTGAAACTTTTTTCTTGTCCCCAAATTCTTGACTAAAAATTAATACTCAAAAATTAATATTTTTTAAATGTAAAATTTTTTAATATGGAAACATTATAAACCGACTGTTTCTTACCCTTGCCCCCATCACCATCTAGCCACTCTCTTTGCCACTGAAAGATTCAAATCAAGGATATTAAAAAAAGACCTCCAGAATGGACAGATGTTCAATAAAACAAATACAGTGAAATGGTAACTGTATATTCTAGGTGGTTAATAGAGATAGTCACTGTCAAATTCTTTCACATTTTCTCCTGTTTCCTCGGAGCCTCAATTTTCCTATCTGTAAAACAGGAGTATTGAATTTTGTGCTTGAAGTTTTCCTAGCTGTAAAGTTTTTTCTAAAGGACATTTCACCAGTTGTCTTTTAACTGCAAGGGGAAAAAAAAAAAAAAAGAAAACAGGAGGACTCCCCCAGACTCCAAGGTGGTCCCACTCCACGTTTCACTCTCAGCTTCCCTCTCTAAACCCATTCGAGGTTTTCCTAGTACCGTGGAAAGGGCACTAGCTTGGCGGTAGAAGGCTGAGGTGCAACTACCCCAGGCATGTTATCTTGAACAAGACCATTACCTCTGACACCCGGTTTCTCTGTATTTGGGGATAATAGTATCCACCTCACAGGTCCAATGTCTAGATAAAATGACACAATGAATGGTAACTCCACCCCTTCATGGTAAACTGTAAAGCATTCTCATTATGAACCCAGTCTCCGAAATGCTTATCACTCCTTCCTCTGTTTGCCAGGAGAGGTCATCAAAGAGCTTTCTTTCAGAATTGAGACAGGCTCCCAAAAGAACAATCTACCTGCCCTTACAGAGCAGCTGACACTGACATTGTCGGACTAGCTTCAAGGATCCCTTCACCAGTGTATTACTCCGTGCTTACCTCAGAACTTGTACACACACTGGAGACCTAAATTCTAGTCATTTCACTTATCAAGCACCTACCTCCCTTTTCCTAGGTATTTGAGTACCAACTGAATAGAAGGCATCATATGAAGCTCTGCAAATAGCTGTCTGGTAGACTAGTAACAGATTGTGAATAAACCTTGAATACCACAATATTTCTACCACTGTATGTCAGTCTCTTTAAACTATATAATTTAATTTCCAGAAGAGCCCTGATCTTATTTTTTTATACACATAGTTGAGGAAAATTAGGCTCTGAAAGTTTATTTTGCCAGCCCAAGTCAAAGCCTTGACTATTTGGACATGATTCTATAGACAAAGGGAAGCTAAGTTTTGAGAACATGCATGACATGTGTTCACCTCTTCCACTTATCTGTTTTTGACCTTCAACAAATTTTATCACGTGACATTAATCACCCAGTTGTAAAAAGCTCTATCTTTCCAAATTGTTGAATATAAAAACAAGTAATTGATGCAGTAATTTGTCATTAAAAAGCAGTACAAAGATGAGACATTCGTTCATTTTAACTTGACCTTATAACTGCTGACAAAAAAAATATACGGACCCTTTTGCCTACATACATTCCAGCATACAAAAATTTAACCTCCTACAACTGTTAAATGCCAAACCAAACATCTCTTGATCAAGTCCTTAGTCTTCTTCTCAGAACTTGGCCATAAACAACATAAACCTATTAGCCTACCTTAAAAGGTTGAGAGCCCACTAATCCAGTTCCTAGTACGTGAAGGATTTAGTTGATGTGGGGCCATTTTCTAGCTGTAAAGAATTGTGCAAAAGAGCAAAAGAAGTAACCAATAGGGCAGGGTGGGAATAGGTGGCATTTAGAGAAAGTGAGAACACACTCATCTGTGGTCCTGTACAAGATCCTTGTGCGCCTGAAATGGCTTGGATTTAGCCAGAATCAAGAATAAGGACTAGACCTTTTCTGGACGTCTTTCCTAAGTCTAGAATCCCTTTAAAACATTCACTCAATTATGAACCTAATACAAAAAGTGCAAGGCACAGGAACCAAAGGAGAACACTGCCCCTAACTATAGAACTTACAGTTTAGCGAAGTATGATATGGGTATGAACAACTAATTTAAGGGAAGATGTGGTAACTGAGGCAGGGAGAGAAATTCCATCTCATTGGAAAAATCCAAGGTTTCTTGGGATAGGAAGTTGAGCTCAGACTTTAAATAAAAGGCTATTTTCATAGCTGTTTACTATCTGGATTTATATAATTGTGCTCTCACCTACCTTTCAAAGGGCTAAACACAAGTAGCTACTTCACCCAGGCAGGTGTTCAGGTAAAGTGAACACCTCTTTATGAGATACCATTGAAATGAGAGTATTGAAAGTGGCTACCTGACCAATGTTCCAGTAAAGGGCTTTCTAATGACTCTTTACCTCCATCCAAGCTCTGGAAATGAAGATGGAAAATGGAATTACAAGGAAATGTGTAGACATATCTTCACACACACACACATACACACACACACAGACACTCTCTCTCTCTCCCTCTCTCCCTCTCTCCCTCTCTCCCTCTCTCCCTCTCTCTCTCTCTCTCTCTCTCTCTCTCTCAGCTGCTGCTTGTCTCCTAGTCCTTTATTCCTTTATTCCTGACTTAACAATCCCCTAGGTAACTTGATGTGTACAAACTAAGACAGAGCAGTTCACAGGACAAGGCCTCTGCTTACTGCAGTTCCTGGAACCCACTTGCCCTCATCCAAATCTCTTCAGCTGCATCCAGAAGCTTGGTCTTTGGCATAACAGAACCATGAGCCCCAGTAGGGATGCCAGGAATGACTTAGCCCCTGCTGACAGCAGGGCCACGCCTGTATTCGTTCTGGATGCTGGTGAGATAAGCGGCACTCTGAATGGACTCTATTTAGTGACCTCCAGTCAGGTTCAGTGGGTCTCCAGGTAACTGCTATGTTACCTGGATGTTGCCTTTGGATGATTTTCCAAAATGCCCAGAGAAAGCAGCTTAGCCTTGGAGTCAGAAGTGGAAGCTCAGGGAGGTCTCAATAGTGTCACTACTTTCCAGTTTTTCTATTAGCTTTGTATTTAATCCCCCTACACCTGCCTGTCATCTATCTATCCACTATTTACTAAATCAATTATGGTAAGGCAGTGAACTACGAAAGCTGGGCATCAGAATAAAACACAGCCTCTTTTCTTACAATGTAGGAGGGAAATAAGAGAAATGCCAAAATAATTACTGAGGAATGTGGAAATATGGAAGAGAAAGGAGGGTGCTATGAAGCTGGCAGAAAATAAATCATGGAACATTTCAAGGCTTGAAGGTCATTTGAGTAGTAGTAAGTAGTACCTTAAAGAGCAGATGAGATTTTGATGGAAGGAAAGTGTTCCGGCAGAGGAAACACACAAAAAAATATGGAGGTAAAAAACAGGGGCACATGCAAGGTACAGTGATTATCCATTTGGTTAAAGTTTAAGGAATGGTAGACATGGTCGGAAAGATAGACTTGGAGCCCATCATAACAACCTTAAATGCAGAATCGGGGGAGTACTTCTTACAAAGATCAATAGAGTATTCTTTCGTGGGCAGAGCTCACTCTATCTCTTTTCTATCAGCTGACACTTCCAGCCTTATTCATATTTTCCTGTACTTTGGGGGAACTTACCTTTTCCTTCATCTTAGAAGTAGATAAAGTTATAGTATCCATTAGAAATTCAGATTTTCAAAAGCATCAATTCAACCCAACAAGTATCAAGCATTTAGTTTGTGCTGGGTAGACACTACTAAGGGGTTACAGAGGTACAGAAGACATGGTTCTACATTAAGATCGCTATTCTACTGTGATTCTGAAAAACTTAATTCTACAGTTCTTTTGTCAAATAGCAAGCCAATACTTAATACGACGCAGGTATTTGTAAAAGGAGAGCTTGTGGTCCAAATACTATTATCTTTTGAGCTAAATTATTAAACAGCTGACTCGGAAGGGAAGTACAATCTAGCACGTTCTATTCTCAACTGCATCTGAAATGACTCTGCCCAGCTTAAAGAGCATCCCTATTTAAAGCATGAAATTATGCCCATGGAATAAAAAGGGTACAGAGAAGGAAAAGCCAATGTGAATTTAAAAAAAAAAAAAAAAAAAGGCAAAATGTAACTGGTTTTTAACCAAGTCATTGCTAGCAGATGTATGTAAAAAGAATAGCTTCTTTCAAAATGACTTACCTGTCTTGGGTAAATTCTCTAGAAAGAATATTGTGAGGAAAGAGGTTAGTATTACTTACCCTATAAATGAAAGATTGGCCCAATCTTTTTTATAAGTGAACCTGCATACCAAGTAGTATTCTAAATTCAAATTTTTCCACGAGATGTATTTCTATCTCATTTAAAGTTGTACCATGTTTAGCATGCTATTTAGCCTGCAGTTATTTATGTAAGAAGCTAAAAATCGGATGTTCTCACATTTCAGAACATTAAACTTTATACTATGAATTTAAAACATGAAATTCATGCTATTTCATATTTTAATGGTTCAATTTTTCAATACTTAATCCATCATAGTATTTCAGCACTAACAATCGTTAAAATGAGTGAATTAAATCCCGAAGGAGTGTGCATCTTGCTATTTAGTCTATTGGACATAGATGTCTACCCAATGTGACTCTTGTGTATTAGACATAGTGCAAGATTCTTAAAACAAAAAAAAAAGCTAAACAGCCAAGTTCTACTTTGTAGACATACATAGCGGGGAACTCACTGGCTTTTAAGTCTGAAAAACTAGACAAAATACACATCTTCAACTGCTATAATTAGACTTAAAATGTACAAAGTGAACCACAGAGTAACTAAGACAAAATCTTTAATGCTTTTAAGCCCTCCAGGTGAGGTTGCCAAAGGGTGTCCACGTCTCATTCTCTGGATCTCATTGTCACAATCCACCTGTTGGCTAACTCACTTATCTAGAACTGATGTACATTACTGCAATGTAAATAACTCGTGTCATTTGGGTGAAGAGTGGCTGGCGCATGACTGGAAACGACACTGATTGCTCACTTTCTAAATGTTCATACACAAGTGCTTCCAAATCACAAATTATTTGGTCCTCTCTCCTAAAAAGGTCATTTCCGGAGACCTCTTCTCAAACTTGACTGGCCCAGGGAACCCACGAGAGGGGACTGAACTACCCTGCAGCAATAGTTGTGAACACAATGGAGCCACATTTGGAAACTAGGCCATGCCAGGGATGGACAGGACTACTAGGGATACCCAACTCAGAGCTGGCTAAGACAGACATTAATGAAAAAGCAGTATTAGATTGATTTAAAACATTCCAAAATGAGTTATAACATTATCAAATAAAGGCTCAGTTGGTCACTGGGTAAAAGGGTATTTTATTTACATGATTTATCTTAGACTTAGTAACTTTTCATTTCTTTTGATTCAAGATTATATACTAACAAGGGCCAGTTTCTGCCAACAGACCAGTGTGCAGTCTCGAGTCTAGCCCCAACCTTGCCAAAGTTAGACTTCTGCATAACTGAAAGTCATCTCCAAAGGACTCACCCTTCAAATTTTCCCCATTTCGCTCATTTAGATATTTGCACAAAAGACCTACCCTTTGTCTTAAAAGTTACTTGATTCAGACAGAAGAGTAAATCCCATTATAATTCTTCTTCAAGTGATTTTACATTTCCTTTTTTTTCCAAAAAGGTAGCTGTCAACGTAAATGTGTCATGACACACAAGGGGTTAAAAGTTCAATGTTAACTTTCGACAGCTCCAGGGACAGTTATCTGAAATCTCACACTAGCTTCATTATACTATTACTATTCAAAAAGTTATTTTAACCCCAAAGGACAGAAGGGTATCATGTAATTCTTCAGGTCACAATGCAGCATTGGCTATGGACTCTGTTACAAGTAAAACAACTAAAAGTTACAATTCTGTGATTCCAGTACTTTAGGGAAGAAACAAAATATATATTGGGCTCGGAAGTGTTTGTTAAGCTACAAAGTACTTAATCACCTATGATGGAAGAAGTTCAAGATGACTCATACTTCCACTTAAAAGACTACAAAAGACACAAGCCCACAGAGAAGTAACTGACAGCTGGCTAAATCAGAAGAGAGTTCTAAGTAGCCTGGGGACATCTTAAACAATTACTTGGCCTAGAAATCTGGGTCAGAATTTCTCAAAGCTCCTCATCCTTTCCCAGAAAAAAATGTGATAGTATGTCTTTTATATGGAAATTTCATTGTACATATGTATAAACTTGGTATGGCCTTAATGCTGCAGTTAAGGATTTGTTTGGCTACCACCTTAAGCAGCGTGTTAAGCAATCGCTTCCTTAATGAAACATTTTTACTTCTTACGGACTCTTAATCTTGACCAACCAATCCCCGCTCCCCCCCGCCCCCCGCCCTTACTCTTCTCCCTTTTTTGCATGAAGTCATAAAAGTTATGGCAGTTATTTTTTGGCTTGTAAAAAAAAATTCTATTTCTGCAGTTTGAAGATGGAATGTAAAATTTCTGTGATACATGTATATAAAAATATATTTATTGAACCATCCATATACACATATTCATGCTGATTCCAATGGGAAAAAAAAATAAAGTTTTCTGAAATTTTCTCTGTGGTTAATTCAGTTGTTACTATTCAACCAACTTTATGTGAGAGAACTTTTGAAATCTTACAATTACCCCAGAAACCTACCATATAATCTGGAAAACATAATTTCACTTGACAAGGCTTGTATGTTATTCATTCAAGAAATATTTATTGATATGCATGATGGGGGATACACAAATGACTCAGACATAGATCCTGCCCTTAAGGAGCTTACAGTCTAGTAGGGGTGATAGAACACATACATGGGATACATAGTCAGAGCTATGTTTCAGTAAGATGAATCTAATATTGGATTTAATGGAGGCTGGGATAAGAAGAGATAAAGGAAGCTGAGAGGCCGTTGAAATTATCTAGATGAGGAGAAAGATGTGAAAGACTGCTGAGGTAGAACTGACAGGACTTAGCCGGAGACTGGATGTGGGAAATAAGAAAAAGGTAAGCAGATGACTTAAGATTTGGGGCGTGAGTGATGACATGAACTGAGAGAACAATGAAGTCGGTTTGTGAAAAGAAATGAAAATTGGCACATAAAATTCTTCTGCATAAAAACAAAGTGCCCAGGATACACTAATTACTCAGATCAGGGATGGAAGTACCTCGAAATGACTAGTGACCTTCCTCCCCCTCCTCTGCCCACTCCTCAAACTTTCCAGCAATCCCCTCTACTATGAAATGTCATAGTGCCTAAAATGTATTCAATTAAGTCCTATCTCTAGGTAAGCCTCCCTTGTGAGAATGAAAACAAATACACCAATTTACTCAACTCAATGAATCATCATTTAAGGACTCTTTCATACAAGCCACTGTACCTTCTGGGGGAATACAGGGATTAATACCCCAGTCCTTGTCCTCTAGGAGCTTATGGTCTAAATAAGGTAGTAAAACAGATACGGGTCATTCTAATCTTAGGTTGAAGGGGTAAGTTATAAGCTCTAGGAACACACTTCGTTGTTTTAAATGAAGATTGGGACAGAATCTCAAATAGGAGGGACAATGTAGAAGGGAAGAAGATGAGAATGAATTTGTTCCTTACTTCAAATTCTGGCCGGATCAATCCCCAAAAAGGGGTTCTCCACTCCTGTTGCAAATCTCCTCTCTTATGAAAAAAAATTAGCTCTTGAACTAGGTCTTCAAATAAATGACTTTGATGGTACGGGACTAGGGGTAGAAGGGGGATGCAGACGTTTGTCTATCTTCAGGGAAGAAAGAAGGCACTCGAAGCCACGGAGTCAGCAATGCCTGGCATATTAGAGGAACCGGAAGTAGTTCAGCATGGCTGGAGCATCACTTCCATGAAGAATGGGAAAAATTACTGGAAAGGAAGATTAGGACCCTGATGCATATATGGCACTGCCAGACACTGAACAGGGTACATGCCTAAGACCAATTTGCTGCCCCTTAGGAGCTTACAGTTATAACAATACAAGGTGGGGAAAGCACCACAATGTACAGATTGCAAAATGCTGACCGATTCAGGAGAAAATTACAGCTGAGTTTCAGCTATTAACACATTAGGATACCCAATAGCTTTCTGACAGCTAGTAGTAAACCCATCCCTGAGGGGAGCACAAGTTAATGTCCTTAGACAACAGGCCCTGGTAGAAATGGGCATTAAGACAGTTCTAAGAAAACAGAGAAAACCCGGTAATGAAAACTGAGCTATAGAAGCAACTGGGTAAGCATATAAAATGTGGCTCCTTCCCTTTTTTCCCCACATCCAGACCTTTAACAGCTCTGGCTTCCTACAGTGAACCTAGGGCAGACTGGTAACGCCTGAAGGTGCTCCTTGTTACTTCTACAAGCCAATGTGAGACTGTACTAATAATTCTCTGAGCCATCTAGCCTTTAAAAACTGAAGGGGTTGTATAAATCACATTAGTCCTTTCCAGCACTAACTTTCTATGATTCAAAGAATTCTAGGAGCCTCTCCTGTCTTTTGTGGTAATCAACAGAATGAGAAGGAAGTTTTAAGAATACATTGTTGTTTCTCACTTAAAATTATGATTTTTCTATATAAATCAAATAATTCCTATGCCATTAGCTAAATTCCACCTCCACCCCACTCTTCTTCAAAAGCGAACATCTACCTACATGAATTTATTTTTAACATGACATGTTCTACATATTCTACTTAAATGTGTACTGAATCTTTAAAATAAAAGAAGTCCTTTTCTTCTCCGTACTTCTTTATGCCAGCTTCTTGGTATGTCTTCATTTAAAGGGCCAAATCAGTGTATATTCACACTCTTCACAAAACCAGTTAAGAATTTAAACCAAATCCAAAGTTGAACAGGTGACATCAAAGCTTAAGAAAAGCATCAGTAACCAAAATGGTTAATTACAGCAAGTTAAAACTGTTTATATCCAGATTAAATGACATATAATCATCCCTGTAATTACTACCAAAAGTACAGGCAAACTTCCCATAAGTGGGTTTATGAAAAATACTTGTTAAAATAATTCACAGTGAATTTTTGGTAAACATTCCTTAACTTTATTTTTTCAGAAACTAAGACACATTGAATGGACATAAGTCCCTTTATAATCTGTGACACTGGCCACATTTCAAAGTACTGAACATGTATGGATTTCTGTAGTTGGCCAGTTCATGTGGTTCATGGAAGTAACAATGGAACTGATTTCCAATCCTATTTTTTTCTCACAGGGAACTAAAAAAGTTACCAAGTTCAAGTGGAAATTGGAGGAGGGGAGACTGTCCAAGGTTTTCTAAACAAATGATATAATCAAAAAGCGAAAAACCTTGATTCTAAGCCCTACATTAGTGATAATTCAAAACTAAAACTGGCTGTTTTAGGTCACCTTTAATAAACTACTTAGGCCATGATGAGAGAGAGACTGTTTCATGAAAGCATGAGCAAAGCAGTCTAATTTCAGCATTATCCTGTGCTGGATACATAGTCACTAAAAAAGATGTAAATATAAGTTTTATCTAACATGTGCTGCCATTTCTCCTTTCATATAGTCTAATAAGAGTTCACGAGCCTACATATGGTCCTCAGAACCTAATTATCACAGTACACAAATACAGATCCCAAAAGGTGTTACTACCTTAAAACCAGAAATCCTTATTATCTAGTGCCACATGGCCATTACTTTATCAGCAACATTAATCTACAACCTCATCCCACACAAGACACTGTTAAGTTTCTAATACATTCTTTAAGGTTTCTAAAACATTTATGGAAGACTACCTTTAACTGTCTACTGCCCATTTTTGGTACATTAGGCAGTTAGCTAGAACCCCATATTCAAACAAATGTTGAAGTCGCTTCTTTTACAAGGTTCAAAATTGCTGAACTAAAAGGTCATTTGTATGCAGTTCCCGCAGAGATTCTTTTAAGTAGCACAAAAATAAATTTCAATATAAAAGATATCTTTAGATCAGTAGGTTTGACAAATGCAACCATTTACATAAAACAGGCCACTCAGCATAAACAATGGTCTACAAATTTAAACCTCACAGAAAGGTTATTTCCATATAGATTCTAACAAATTTCTTTCTATAAAGTGCCACGTTTTCTACTAAATCATAAACTCTACAAGGATTTTCAAATAGAGATGAAGGAAAGAATCAGAGAATGGCAGTTATAAGCACAAAACACAACTGCTACAAACTCACCTTGATTATGCTATAAAAATATCATCCACATACAGAATCCAAGATTGTGCTACATGTATTAACAAACAAAAAAATAATCTAAGAACAAGTTATTGTGTTACCATATAGTCTGCAAATCAAAAGAAGCCCTATAAAAATCAATGTTTACTTATTTTGTTTACCCTAAAAGAAATAGAGAACAGAAATGCTAACTTTGTTATGAATATTTTGTAGACTGGGTCTCTATGCTGTAGTAATTATTATGATCATGTCCTATTATCTTAATGTTGTTCAAATGTAAATAGGTAGGCATTTTGGTTCTAGAGAAAAAGCATCAGTTCTAGAGGCCAGTCTGCTGCTCCTTGCTACATGAATGGCTTGGAGGCCTAGTCAAGTAACTGCTCTGATGTAGTTTCTTCTTTATCTACTTTGAAGGAAATAGCACCTAATCCACAGAGTCGTTGTGAAAATTAATTTTATAACCTAAAGCTAAAGTGCAATTCAACTACAACTAACACTGTGGCAGTAACCTACTCATTCAATAGCTCAAAAGTTGAGAATGCAGGAATACAAAAGTAAAGCCCAACCTCAACATAAAAGCAAAAGTATTTTTTAAGTCCCAAGATCTATATATTTTCAAGAGATCATAAAGAACTAAGACCCACTGAACCAAATTAATTTTACCTAATAAGATACGAGGTTAAAAAAAATGGGTGGTGAGTGTTAAGCTCAGTGGAAAATAACTGTACATTGGGCCATTCCTACATATGAGAAATTGTATTTTAAAATCTTAAAAAAGGTTGACTGTGATGAGCTGATGCTGCCTATAGAAAAATCTTTCCATATTTAATTTCACTTTCTACCTGTGTGAATACATGTATCTCTATGGTATCACGTTTATGCATCAGCAATAATGTAAACAATATCGGGATTCTTAATAGTGTTAACCATGATGCTAAATCCTATTTAGAAAGTCCAAAACTCTACAATCATCCCAACTCCAATGAAGTGAAATTACTGAAGCAAACTTTTGTTTTCCGAGATTATGCAGTAATTCTGTGCAAGTTACAAAGCAGCATCTACACATTGCTACTACCTCTCCAACATTTCTTAAAACCACACGATTGGTACAAATGAAGGAAAATGAGATTATTACTTGCAGTAGATATTATAATTCCTGAAAGAGCTTTCTACTTGCTAATTTGTCTATTTTATTTATCTGTGGCTTTATTTCAAAAGAGTAAGTCTTCTACTCCAGTTGTTCTAACCCACCACTCCGCCCATCACCAATTAGAGGAGTAGAGACCATTCCTATTCTCATCGCATTGATTCATTTTCACAGAACATTTGGCACTGCTGGTCCCCACCCACTAAATGCCCAGACGCAGTGTCTCCCCTCCAATACCACACATTTCCAAATGTCCTCTAGGATAGAATAACCAGCTCAAGTTGAATATCACTGCATCTAGTTGGTGCCCTTAAACCCCTGAGTAGGAAAAATTCCTATTTTGAAATGTATGTTTTAGTATTCACTTCTGAAAAATGATTTCTAGGTTATCCATAATTTATGATCTTAATACTCCAAAAATAACTCAGGCTGTTTTTTTTCCACCACAAGCTTAATATAAGCTACAGAAGTACAAGCTGAATTTCTTCCAATTATCACTAGCCTGAGACAAATTAATTGGTTACCAAATAATTACTTAAACTGACTCCCAAAACAGCCATGTGACTCCATTATATAAGTCTCTTTCTTTGAAGGAGATGTTGCCAATTTTCAAATATTTGAGGTACTGCGGACCAACTGATAACATCAAACTTCATTTTAGTTTAAGACTACACCCTTAAGCAAACCTAGTTTCCCAGTAACAGCAAAACAAAACATTCCTATTCCTACTCATATACTGTCCTCAAACAACAGTCCTAAAGATGAACACTGTTAAGAAGAAAATAAATAAGTTAAATCTGACAACCTCGTTGCCCTTCAATTAGTAATGACAAGCAATCATACAAAGCCTTGCTTTACAAATGTGTAAACAAAACCTTCACCCACCTCACACACAGCACTCAACAAACAACATACTATGTAAAACGAGCATTAGTCTATATTGCCAGATTAAATTTTCTTCCAGAAATATTTTAATAAAAATTGGCCATTTCCAAGAATCACCCACTGCATGTCCATCAATAAAAGAGAACCATAATAAAATATAAAATTTACCATATGGCTATGATTTAAAGGAAGAAAACTAGCAGACACTCAAGCACATCAGCAAAATCCAATATTAAAATCACATTCCTCCTCATGGGCTATGATTAGAATTCTGAACAGATATCAAAATAAAACAATACAAATGCTGAACTACTTAGGTCAAAGGACCTCTATAGAAGCATCTATCCTCAAAGGCATTCCAGTTTGAGACTCAATTTCAGAATAAGGCATAACAAATAAACAGAAGACGTACAAGGTTGAAAGAGGGATTCTACAATTCCCAACATACTCTGAACCTGAAAAAACAAATCTAGACGTTTTATTATTTTTTCTTTAAACAATCGCCAAGACTGGAATCAGAGATAAATAGAAGGCACACAGTTTTGCTCTGGTTTTGAATTATTCAGATTGGGGGAAGGGTAGTTTTGTTTTGTTTTTTAGCTTTTTTTTTTACAAATACAAATTAAACATGAAAAAAACTACTTCAAAAAAACCTAACAATTCAAGAAAAGCATATCAGTTATATTCTAGACATTTAAAACCTATCTCACAATTTAAATTTCAATGGTAAAAACAGGTTTTAGAATTGTTTTGTGATCACATATCAAAGAAAAAACTCTACTAACACCTTTTATTCAGTTTTTAACCATACCAGTGAAAATCAAAACTGTCAATTTTTCCAATGGCAGTTTCTCCACACCAGAAGGTAGTCATGACTCTCAAAGAACAATCAGGGTTTTTTCCTGCCTTCGAAATATTTATCAAATCCTGTATTTCTCAAAGACTTTTGAAACACGTAGAAAATAAGTAAGAAATATCCCAATGTCAGTAATAAGTGAGACACATTCCTTTGGGAAATGGCTGTTAAAAAAAAAAATCCAGTCTGTATATGCAAAGTAAAGCAAGGAAATCAGTCTTTTTTTTTTTTCTTCTTTAAAAATCCATTTTTCCTAAAATATCATTCCACAAAATTGGAAGTGAAAGACTAAAATGTGAGGGGAGGGGAAGGGAGGGAGGGGAAGGGAACACACACCATTAACACAAAAAGTAAAATTGTACAAACGTAAGCAGTTTTATGAGACCAAGGTCATACTGCAAGATACCAAAAGGTGGATGAAGAAATTCACCATTCTGCAGGAGTGGGGTTTGCACTGCTGCATGAAGATCAGTGAAGAAAAATTCACTGCCTTGGAGCAACTCCCCTTCCCACTCCAAATCCTGGTTTCTGCACCATGCCACCACGGGGAGGGCCTCTCATTCCACCACCCAGCCCACCTCGAGGGCCTCCGGGTCCCCGTAGGCGGTTATCTCGCCGGTCCCCTTCTCGGGCAGCTCGAGTCTTCTTCTCTTCCACATTCAGACGGACCTCACCTCTGAACATGATGGGCTGTAAGAGTCAAAGTGAGCAGAATTACACACAGTGCCAATGTGCTACCAACTATCCAAGATAAAGGCAAAGCTATTATAAAGAATCAGCAGCTTACAAATCATCTATGCTTTCACGGTTGTTTTTGTTTCAAATTCTGAACACATAAATGTCCTCCATTAACAAGTACATGGAAAGATGGTCAGGTATGCAAACTAGTTCAAAAAAGTCCATTTAAATAGCACAGCAGCACAAGTAAGTCTCATTGTGCTTATATTAAAGTATATCTTATTTTCCCATAAAATCACATAAATAGAATATAAGAATTGTCAACTTCTTTATGGATTGGTAGGCTTAGAATAAAACCCCATCAAAACCTAATGTGGAAAGATTGTGCTGCACGTATTTATGCACGTATATACATCTTAAAAACATCGTTTATTTCATCTAAATTTAAGAAAATGCTATTTGCCTCAATAGATATTTGGAAAATATTGAAGACAATAAAGATAGCATGTCTTATTGAAAGGAAAAATAGATATATCCACGCTAAGTCTTTGGCCTTTTTTTTCACTCAACAGAGTTTAAGTAGAAAACAAAGGGCTACTTAAGATTCCAGTGACTTCAATGTACACTCCTCACTAGCACTCCCTGGTTTTCTAATCGTGATTTTTAAAACATATCTAACAGTACTTACTATGCAAAGAAGTGTTCTATAAGCTTCACTTTTATTATCTCTTTTATCTCTTCACAACAACCCTCTGAGAGTTTTTGTACCTATTTTAGAAGACCAGTGAATGAAGGGCCAGAGAGGTTAAGAAACTTTGCATGATGGAAGAGGCATACGAACCGAGGCATCCTATTTGGAAAGTATAAGCTTTGAAACACTATGTTACATGGAAGTATGTCAAACACCATGGTTATCGGGTTTATATAAGCTATTTTGTACTCATAAAAAATTACTGAAGGGAGGATGGTAGATTTTATCAATACAATGAAATGAGGGAAAAGCAAGCTATAGTTGAAGTCCTCAAAGTATAAAGGAGTAATCTGAAAGTACACATAAAAAAAAAGGCTTCTTTTGGGCCAATTTATATTTTAAACTTGGATTAAATTTATATTTGTACATTTATATATATAATACTTAACGCAAATTTTTTTATATATACACTATATAAATCACTTCACACACAATCTGAAACGTTGTTCCCAGCAATGTTCTAAATAGGAAAAATCAAATCATATATAAGTCTGAAAGATTAAGGAAAGACAGGCTGAGGCTGAGATGTTTTAAAATGTAGTTATGAAAGTCATCTCTGAGGAGTTACCTACGGGTAGAAGCAATCTGAAGGAAAAAAGGTATCAGACATACTCACAGCCCTTTTTCTAAGGAAACTGATCTCAAACAATTCTTATGCATGAAGATGCCATGGCTTACCCACATTCATAAAGTAAAACAAACCCCTTATCTCAAGCAATTCTAGGAAGCCAGCTATCGGGTCTGACCTCCTTTGGCCCGCTGGGATGATCATACACTCTTAGAAAGTATGAATTCAAGGCTGTACCAAAAAGGTTGCCCACTGGATCTACTGCAAGCTCAATGATGGATTTATCCACAAAACCTACTGGAGATTTCTGGGTTTGGTATTATGTGACATTGGTGAGATAAGCCACTGTTCTGTCCTCATTTCTCAGTGTTGTGTCGATGCTTCCCAAAGGCAGTGGTCAGTTTGAAAGATAATGCACACTTGCAGATTAAGGCTCACATAATGTTATGACCAAAACAAACTTTTCAATATATCCATTAACATTCAGGAGAACCTCTAAGAAATAATGATCTACAATATTTCTATTACATAGCTAATAAAATTTGTAGTTTAATTTGCAGAGACTGAAAGCAGATTAGTGGTGGCTAGACGCTGGGGAGAGAGAATATGGGGGATGGGAGAGAGACTGCTTAATAAGGAGCTTACTTTTGATTTAAATGTTTTGTTAACTAAATAGGTGATGGTTGCACAATAATGTGTCAATAAATACCACTGAATTATAAATTTTAAAAGTTATTACTCATAGCAATAGTAATATTAACAAAAATAGTCCCAGGCAGGGTGACTCCAAACCCAGACAATTTATGGAATAAAAGCAGAAGCTCCTCACAGTTATACTCAGACAATAGTTATGTACCAAGACTTCCCTGGTCAAACTGGCTCTTAAGTTATCTTAGCTAAATGTAACATTGTATTTCATCTACACCAGAAGCCACCACCAAGAAAAGGAATTTGCCTAAGTCTCAGTGCACTGATAACTTATTAGTTATTTCATTCTCATCATTCACTAATTCGAAACCTGTTATTTAGACATTTTTGTTTTGCTAAACTCTCAGGCAGTTCTTTTAATAATGGTTGACTATGATGGAATATATTACTCAAACATATTGGAGTAAATTGCACTTTACATAAACTTTACATAAAGGGCATAGTTGTAAAGATGAACACACTCTTATTGGGGGGGAAAAATATATGAAAAACTGCTTACCCTGTTGCTGAGGACCTTCTGAACAGGTTCAGAATCATCAAACACAACAAAACCAAAATTGGGTAATTTCCCACCACTGTTAATGCGCAGCTCAACCACATTCCCATATTCTGCAAATGAAATACAAATTCTCAAATAACTTACTACAACATTTCTTTTAAATATTACATGCGTACTATGATAGCCTCTAGACACATGTGCCTACATAGCACTGGAAATGTGGCTAGCCTGAAATAAGATGTGCTATAAGTACAAAAAGACTTAGTATGGGAAAATGTAAACTATCTCATATTTTTACATGTTGAAATGACATTTTAGACACATTGCATTAAATAATTATATATGTAGTTCATCTTCTATTTCCATTGGGCAGTGCTGCATTACATGAATCTAGTGTTTAAAATTCAATTACCATCTACAGCCACGCCACCCTGAACAAGCCCCGATCCCGTCTGATCTCAGAAGCTAATAAGCAGGGTCAGGCCTAGTTAGTACTTGGATGGGGGACCACCTAGGAAGACCAGGTGATGTAGGCATAAAAAATAAAAAATAAAAAAAATAAGGGATTGTAAGCTGACAAGGTCCTTGCAATCTGTAAATGAATGAATGAATGAATGAATGAATGAATAAAATTTTAAAAACTCAATAACCTACTTTGAAAGAAATCTTTAAGCTCTGATTTGTCCACCTCATGAGGTAGATTGCCAATGAAAAGTTGGTGACTGTCAGGGTGTCTCACAATTCTTCGGGGTTCAACATCGCCTTGCTCACCAGCCTCCCGAACTTAAAAACAGCAACGAAAGACAAAGAAGACATCTTTCAGGCCGATATTTTTTTCTCTACCCTAAATAAAGGTAATTCCATCAACTCCACAATTCTGTTTTAAGTAAACAAATATCAATCACTCCCCTTACCCCACCCCTGGCAAAATAAGCTCTCACCTCAAAATCCCCCAACCAGAAAAGTCACCCTTCTGAGCTCTTACTTGGTCTAGGTCCCCTCTGGGGAGGAATATTTATTCGTTGTTCTCGAACTCTTTGATCCCTCTGAGGCCTCTGTGGTGGAATCTGAGATTCAGGTTTAGACTCTGGACGAGGCTGAAAAATTTGTAAGTTAACTTTTGTGTGAAAACAAATCAAGTTTACTTTTTTCTTGTGAAGTTCTCCCATTCTCTAAACCTCTATGAAACCACATTACACAAAATACAAGTAAATTTGCCTTTATATACAAGCTCAATTAGAAACTCACCTGTGAAGCTGGTACTTTAACGACATGAGGTGGTATCCCAGTAACTGGAACGGCTCCACTGGGTGGAAGGTTCTTACTGGTCACAGATGCCCAGGAAAATGTCTAAGGTAACAACACCAGCACCAGATGATTACACCATATATCAAAACAACATAAAAGCTATTGGTTCTTGATTTCTTATACGTAACATATGCATCACGTTTTCATAGGCAAGATGCAGTTTATAAATATCTTGAGATTCCCTTTTCCCTAGTTACAAATTTAGTACTAAAATTATTTAGAATTACAAACATGACCCAATTTCACCAACTTTAGAATAATCTTTAACACTTTTTCAATCCATATCGAAATCACCAAATCCTATTATTTAACTCTTAATTATCTTCTCTCCATCTCAACTACCATGACCCTAGTCCAAGATACTATCATCTCTCTCCAGGAATATTATTATAACCACCTAGTACACAATCTAGCCAACCTACTTTTCTACCTGCAAGCTAAAGTCATCTCACCACTTCTCTCCTACTCACCTACTGGCTAAAGGAGAGACCAAGAACCCTATCCATTTTACAGATAGTTCCCATTCCTAAAATACCACCACCACACAGACATTTGAATTAACTGCTAAAAATGCATAAATGACGTTATGTAAGAACACTGACCCCATAAATACAACCCTAAAACATGTTCCTTCTGAGTAACAAATGGAAAGGTTCTGTTGGTTCAGTGAACATCATCGCACTGTGACTCAGGAGGAGTAACTGAAAAGCTTAAATATTTGAAATTAAGTATTCTAATTTATACTTCTACTGTAAAGTTATCCTCAATTAAATTTCACAGAAAAAGGCTGGCAAAGTCTGTTGTGCCATGTAATTTTTTAAAAGATACATTACCACTTTCTGTTATAATAAGTATGTAATAACTGTAATTTAAAAGATGAAATATTAAAAAGATGATGGGTTGTTGATATGGTGGTAAAAATAAGAAAGCACCTGAAATTTTTGGTCTAAAAAGTATTTAAGTTTCCTTAGAGGGGAAAAACAGTTATTTTTGATTTTATAAAGCAATATGCAACTTCTAATCTGAGGCATGGCTCGACATGTAAGAAATTTCTCTGAACCACCAATATGTAAATGCACCTACAAAGGAAAACCAAATAATAATAAAGAAGAGAGAGTTTTAAAAATAAACGAAATAGAATAAAAATGAAGGCATGTTCCATACCCTCAGGTCTTCCTGCGCTGTTTGAGCTATGTCTGTAGGTGCTGGAGAAGAACTCTTCTGAGCATCCTCAGAATAAATTTCTTCCAATACTGGCTCAGACTTTTCCTCTTGGATTTCAGATACGGGTTCTTGCTCCGATTCTGGTTCAGGATCAGGCTCTGGTTCAGCAACAGGTTCCTCTAAATGTTCTTCCAAGTCATTGCTTTCACAGGAAAATTTGAGAAATATCATTCTGCCTCCATTGATTTAGCTAGTAACTCCCAAGTATTTATAAACTACAGAGACCTGAACCCAAAAAAAGTTCTTAGAAATACATTTCAGTATTAAAACACTTTTCAGAAAAATACTCAATGAGCAAATCTTAACTACTATCAGACTAGCTAAATTCTCGTAAGTAAATGCATGAAAACGGATTAAAATGAACCAAATCACTGTTTCTCAGAATCCCCAAACTATTACAATTTACCCATCACACATCACAAAACTCTAATAGGCTATGGCTGGAGAGGGGAAAGGATTGTTGAGTTGTTCTATGGGTACAGTTTCAGTTTGGAAGGATGAAAAGTTCTAGAAAAGTGTTATACAACCACATGCATACACAGTTAACACTACTATACAGCACACTTAAAAATGCTTAAGATGACAAATTTTGTTATGTGGTTTTTACCATCAAAAAACTCATAATAAATAAAAACAAGGAATTTGAGAAAAAAAGACAATAAGTTATGATTCAGAATAGTTCTTTACACCTCCACATAATCAGTTTGTTAAAGCTGCAGGGGTTTTCCCCCATAAAAATTCTAGTTTAGTAGGTTTGTGGTGTGACAATAAATCATTTTCAACAAGTAACCCAGGTTAAGTACTGAGGTAATTCATCACTACACCTGGAGAAAAATTTCAAAATATCCTTTAAGCACTAAATATTAATGTTACTGCTATCATATGGCAACAAGTAAATCCTGTATAAATTTCTATTCCTAGCAAACACACTTCTGTTCCACTGTCGATTTAAAAAAAAAAAAAAAAACCCTAAGATAGCCACACATTTATTGTCTGAGTTAATTAATGAAATTCTTTACTGCTACTAAACTCATGTCTGAATTTCTATTAATTTATGCCTGATCTCTAAATAAGTCCTTATCACCCAGAAACTAAACCGAAAAGCAACTGGTGGATACTATTTAAATAGTCCTCTTAGAGCAATCTTTAAACACATTACAGATATTTTTTGGTTCGAAGATACAAAAAGCAAAACCTTTCTTCTGAGAAATTATCATTATTCTCTGAGATAATACCTGAGATTACATGACTGTCTTCCAACAAAGAGAAAGACTAGACAACCCAAGTTCTCATGCAGCTCTGGACAGATAAAGGTTTCCTTACCTGACAGTCTGATCATAGAAAGTCCCAGAATCATCAGGTACCACCTCAGGTGTCTGCTGTCTTTCTTCAGGTTCTTCTACTTCTTCCTCAGATTCTAAGGGAGATAAGAAATTTAAAGTAATTTGTGTTTATTACTTGATTCACAAATATACTTAATTTCACAATGTTCATAATAAAAAAGGCAATAAGAAAAGCAGATATATATAAAAATGTAAAGTAAGTAAGGCAACTTGGTAAAATTATGGCATAGGCTTTAATAACAGAATTAAAGTAATTATAGTGTTTGTGTTAAAAACATGGAATCTGAAGTCATATTGCCAGTAATCTAATACAGGCTCTACATGGCAGTGCCCTAATTAAATGGGAACAATAGTACTGAAAGTACTTATTTATAAGGCTACTTTATTACAAAATAAATATGAAAACACTTGGAGTCTTCTCAGCCACATAGAAATTGTCTTGAGAAAATTCTCCATGGGTATCTTGTGTTTCTATACATTTTACAATTGGGGAAATAGCTACCCTTTGTTTTAGACTATCTTTTAAGAACATTTACACAGCAAACAACCTCAGAAAATAGTTTCTCCCTCCAGAGCCAAGAGAAGGCTTGTTTACTGCCCATTATAAGATCTGGGTTCCCTAAACTTAAGGTTCCACTCTTGTAATGCACCCTACTGCAATGCAGGTATCATATGGACTTCTTCATATTGTATGGAAACAGTGGCAAAAGTGCTTCTATACCTGCTGTGAAAATAACCTACTTCTGACCTAGAAGTTTTGTCTTCTACCAAAATCCATGAAGTAGGCTAACCTATTAGCTTCAAGTAGGTTTAAAACTCAGACCCTTCATGTCTTGACAATTAGAAGTTATTAATAAAGAATATGAAGTATAGTGAAAAAATTCAAGAAACCCATATTCTCTTCAGGACAACTGATGCCATCAAAAAATTTAGACAAGTAACTTACCCTCCTGAGGCTCAGTGACAAAACCACCAAAGACCTCATCTTGGTATCTGAAGATATCATTGTGAACGTAGAACTTGTTTGCAACAGATCCCTGCAATGCCAACAAAAAGTTTTCATTTATTCAGCAGACTTTTAAAAACCAAATCACCCCATACCAGTGGTTCTCAACTGAGGGCAATAGCGTTTCCACAGAAGCCACTTGCAATATCGAGAAGCACAACTGACAATTATTGAGTACAGGGCAGGTATACTGCTAAACATCCTTCAATGCATAGAACAGCCAGCCACAACAAAGACTTATTCAGCCCAAAATATTAATAGCACCAAGACTGAAAATCCCTGCTCCACATTATGCCTGTTAAAATAAAAACTACACTCAAATATATGGCTTGCTTTAAATACCACTAGATGGATATCCAAAAAATTGATAAAGCCACAGCCCATGCCTCAATTTCTACAACAATAAATACCTTACTACCAACTGCAGCAGATATTTAAAATTCCCTAAATCTGTATCCAATACTATTGACACAAGCACTCAAGGGTGATATATAGCTGAAAAGGTTTGCCTACACCAGATAAGACACATTTGAGTCTAAATCCAACTATGTTGATTTCTAAGTTATTCAACTTCTAAGGCTGTTTCCTCATCTGTAAAAAGGGATACCAACATATACCTTAGAGCTTTAAGTATCAAATACGATAGTTTATGTAACAATACAACATACTAAAACTATGAGTCTTCCTCTTTGAAGGAAAATAAAAGAACTATAAGTACTTACAATTGGCGATCATATCCCACATGATTCCTTGCATATTTAAAAGCCCATCAACAGTTTTATATTGCAGATAATCTAAGCCTTCCTCTAAATATCTTGACTAAAATGATCTCATAATATTTTATATTCGAACATTAAAATGATAGGGTTTTAGATTCACTATCCTAAATAGAAAATTTATCTTAAGGGTAATTAGAGAAAACATTTAATCAGCAAGTCCTCATTGAGCCACTTCCACATGCTTATATAGACAGGCTACCTGCCGAGGCTCAGCCTGGACCAGTCTGGGAGACTGGTACTAATGCAATTACTCAACATAAATCTGTGGTCCTTTCATGATAAGCGTAATAACTAAAAGGAGCCAAGGCTCCTTAAGAAAACAGTTGATTCAAGAACTGGGGCTGGGGCCGGGACAGGGACAGGGACAGTGCCTAAAAGTTATAAAGATGAACTTAAAATTACCAAGTTTTCCACCAAAAACAAAGAAACAAACAAAAAACACAAGGGAGTTCATACTTACTACCTCTGGGACATTTTGGACATCAATATAAAGTTAGCAATGGACTAAATCCATTAAATGAACAAAGACTCCATGAGTGATTAACAGACAGGAGAAGAGGCAAAGTTCTCTATAAGAGAATACCAACTAATAAATATAGAATAACAGAATCAGATAATCACCCTTTGTAACCATGAGTAGCAGTTGGTTCCAGTGAGAATCATCAATGAATGCAAAAACTAGTACTTAAGTTTGATGATAAACACAATATTTACATTGTCTCAAAGAATCACCCACAATTACTTACTTATGAGAAAAGCAGAAATACTAATTTTATGGTGATGAAACCTGCTGTCTACTGAACACCACAGCAACTAAATGATCAAAGTTAACATTACTAAAAATTGGGCTGACTGACATCAAGAGCCTCCCTAATGTAAGGCAGTGAAAGACACGTGTATAGCCTACATCTAATCACAAGTATCAGACACTTCACACTGAGGCATTCTATGCATTAACTTGATCGCGCTTTTCAAAAAATGCCATAAAAAACACAAGGTTAAAGAATTAGCAGATTAAAGGAGACTAAGGAGACATGATAGCTATATACAATGTGTAATCCTGGACTGAATTTTGGACCAGGGTTGGGGGTGATTACTAAAAAGGACATTACTGGGACGACAACCATAATTTAAATATTCACAATAGATTAATAATTGGATTGCATCAACACTTCTTAAATTTGATGACTGTGCTATGGTTATGGAAGAGATTTCCTTATTCTCAGGAAATGCTCAGTTAAAGATCTAAGGATGAGTAGGCATGACAGTTCCAACTTATTTCAAATGGTTTAGATTTTAAAATGGTAAGTAATATAATAGTGTATGTTAGCAATATTTTAATAAAATCTTTAAAAATGAAATGATAGGTAAATATAAAAAACTGTAAAAGAATTATAAACATGTAAACAAGTGTTGACAGTGGCTCTAAGTAAGGAGTATACAGGAGTTACTGTGCTGTTATTACAACTTTTCTGTAAGTTTGAAATTTCAAAATGAATAGTTTTTAACAAGAGAAGCACAACATTTCACTGTATTTTTTCATACCTCCGGAGCAAGCACAAATGTCTGCATGAACCTCCTCAGAGCCTGGTTGTTATTAGAGAGCAACCCCATCACCTGGACCACCACACCATCGTTCAGCGTGGCATGAGCATCAACATGGCGAATCTTAGTATGGCAATTGGTGAAGTTTTGTGACATCACCTTCCTGTGGATTTCCTAAAGAATCAAGGCAAGAGTTAATGCCTTAAAATTTATACAATCCCCGACAAAAAAAATAACACACTTTCTAACACAAAACGTAAAAGAATTTACATATTTAAAATATAAGCTACACAGATACTACTTCTAATTTGTCTTAATACAGTATACTCCTCTTGACCATGCCTAAGCCTTTTAAAATATTGTCCTTAATTAACATATCTAAAAAATGTTTACAACAAATGATTCCCCAGGCTAAAACAAACAAAGAATTTAACTTCAGAATATATCACACAAAATGAGCAAATGCAACAGCATAAGTTTTTCAATGACTATATTAATAGTCACTGAATACCTAAATTTCTAAAAAGTTGAGAAATTTTATCTTTAATATCAGCAAATCTATTAAGCATGTATCCATCTCAATTTTATGGGTTATTTTCTAACTGCCTAACAGCCCTTAAAGCCTGGTATGCTTACCTTCTGTCCATAGACCGCATCTGCTGGCTTTCCATTTGAATCCAATCCCCCATGGACATAAGAAGAGTTCTTTCCATAAAATCTGTAAAATAGAAAGACAATTTACTTGTCATCTTCAAGTATCCTAAGACCAGGTATTTATTTTTCATGTTTGGTACCTAACTGTCTCACTGGTAAGTTCTTGGAGGCCGGAAAGTGTTTCCTTTTCTATCTTTGCAGGCAGTCATAGATTTATCCCCTACATGGGTCAACACTTGCTGAATGGGAATGGATTTGGTGAATGAGGCAGAACACTTATTTTTTAAGTCACAAGCTCCAGGTTTCAAAGTAGGACAATCAAGTTGGGAAGGATCCTGTAGTTCATATCAGAAAAGCCACTTAAAACACAAGTTCGTTTTCACTAAAGAAGAAATCAGGCAGTTTTTATATAGATAAATCCATCTATACTCTCCAGAGTTGGAGAGTCCTTTTATATCTAAGAATGCGTATGAGAAGTTCCCATTAAAAACCCAGTGGCTTGTGCAGGTGGGTTTTGGCAGTTTTTAACAATTTTGTTGGTGCATTAAGAGCTATAGACTTTAATTCCCATGGCTTTAATTTTGCTCTAGCCTCAATTGCTTTGTTTTCATTACAATACTATACACTGGATCAGAAAAGCCACATACTCACATATCCACCTACCCAAAGGAAACACCCCAACCCAGGGATAACCACACTATAAGGATTTCTTGATATCTGCACTCTAGATAAAACAATTTTTCACAAATAAGCACAAATAAGCCATTCTACAACCTGATTCTGACTTCCCCTGCCCCCCAAAAGGGGAAGAGATGTGTGCCAACAAGAACCTCATGTCTACCTTTGAATTGTGAAAGTTATTAAAAGATTGTACATCAGGCAGTAAAATCAGTTCACTAAGCCACTTTTTATTATCTCTAAGATGTACTTCAGATATAAAATGTGAAAAAGAGGATGTCTTAAAATCAGTATCGACATGAAATATATAAATGCACTCGGTTTCAACTCCTACTCCTTTTTAAAATGAAATTTATCTAACTTGTAAGGACAAAATAAAATTTTGACATAAAACAAACAAACAAAAAATGGTTGGAGACTTTTTCCATCACTTTATAGTCATGTGAATACTAGCAAATTTTTAATTCCTTAGCATCTTTATCTGCAAAATGAAGTTAACTTTCCTACAATGCCTTACTAAAAGGTTTTGGAAAAGAACAAGAGGAAAAGGTGAAAGTGTTTTGGAAATTGTAAAGCCTTAAAAAAAAAAAAAACTCAAGAGATATTTTCCATTTCTCAGTTTATAATGGAACCCTCACACACTGCTGGTGGGAATGTAAATTGGTACTGCCACTATGAAAAACCCTCAAAAAATTTAGAATAGGCCTACCATATGACCCAGCAAATCCCTCTTCTGAGTATCTATCTACTTGACAAATTTGAAAACACTTATTCATAAAGATATATGTACTGCTATGTTCACTACAGCATTATTCACAATAGCCAAGACATAGAAACAATCTAAGTGTGTGTATGTGTATACACATATACATACACAAACATATATATACATAAGTACATATATACATACCATATTTTCTATATCTAATCATTTTATATACCATACACACACAAAACTAGAATACTACTCTGTCATAAAAAAGATGAAATATTGTTATTTGTGACAACATGGATGGATCTTAACAGTATCATGCTAAGGGAAGTCAGATGGAAAAGAACAAGAACCATATTTCACCCATACGCGGGATATAAAACAAAGCAATAAACTCATAAAGACAAACAGAATAATGGTTATCAGAGAGGGATGAGGAGGACAAAGAGGGTAAAGGGGGTCAAATATATGGTAACAGAAGACTAGACTTTGGGTGGTAAGGACACAATGGAGTATACAGTGTGCTGTATAATTATATATAGGTCTTGTATTATAAAGTTGTACACCTGAAATTTATATATTGTTAAATAATGTTACCCAATAAATTTATTTTTAAAACTCGAATATAGGAAAAAAGAATTTTTTATTTTCTTTTGCACCTAATAATCATGTGCTATTCAATATGCAAGCTGGTCAAAGTATAGAGGGAAAATAGTTCTGGTCCAGCAAATGCACATTTTGGACTTTCTAAGAATTTTAGCAAGTCCACATTAAGTAGACTTACGAGTTTTATATAATGCAGCACTGTCGAAATAATGGAAGCAACTCATTAGTAGAGGATTAAAGTGTGCTACATCTCTATAAAATAAAAACTTTGTGGATACTAAAATTAATTTGATACATATGTTACTCATGTAAGATGACCCCAGATTATTAAAAAAAAAAAAAAAGCTAAAACACAGTATATTAAAATGTTTGCATATACAAAGCATGGTTTTACTTCCACATTTATTTCATTTTTTAATTTAGAACAAGCATGTTTCATTTCCACTAAAAAAAAAAAAAAAAGTTTTTTAAGCGCAACAATATAAAAGTATATTATTCAGACAAATATTCAATACATCCTTACTAAATAGTACGATTCAACAAAAACAGCAAAAAAAAACAGAAAACCATGAGTAATATACTTTTACATTTTCAGGCATTATTTTTCTGATAATGTAAGTTTTTATATCTTAGTTTAATGTTTTAATATTTGTATATCCTATTTTAAATTATATAATTTTAATAGCCACAATTTATTGGTACTTATACAAAGCACTATTATGTAACAACCCTACAAGGTGCACAATGAATAAGAGAATTTCAAGAATAAATACCCACATACTAAAAAACAGCATTAGATGATGCATGGAGAAAAAATGTTTTACCTGTGTAGCATGTCTGGGGCCTGGTTCAACAGTGTGTAATATTGTCTAACAAATTCCCGCCCGACCAGCAGGGGACTAGGCTTCTCCATAACCATTGCTTTGGTCAATTCAACCTGGAAAAGGAAAAGAAATATGTTCAACCTGAACGACCAAGTACAAGGGGGAAAATGGCAGGAGAAAAGAGACTTACTTAGCTAAAAGCAACTCAAAGTAAGACAAGATCACTTCAGCAATTCTCAGTTTTAAAAAGGAATGAGATTCTAAACATTCAAATTTACTAAAATCAGATAAATACTAAGGGGCGGGAGAATCACTATGAAGAATTTAATTCATGATTCCCAATATCCAATTTTCTTAAACTAAATATAAGAACCTCATAGGTACATATTTCCATCATGCATCCTATCATAATTCCCCTAAGTTATCAAACCCAATTAAGAGTGTTTCAGTTGTAAGATTACAAACATATTCCTATTTATGGCATTATGTGATTCAAGGATGATAAAATCAAAAAATAAATATAGCTTAGACATACAGGCACATACCATCACATTTTTAGTAAAACTAAGTCTGGGAAATATTTAGCATCTTTATAAAGACACCATAAAAACCAAAAGTTCAAATGTTTAATTTATTCTATAATGGGACCAAAAATAATCTAAAAATATAGGCAAAAGTTAACAAACAAAATGTATTTACTCAACAATAATCCCTACCACCTCGAAATTCTGATTTAAAGTTAGTGTCTTTAAGTGTTAAGAAAGGCATCTGACACATAGCTAAGTCCTTAATTATTGTCAATTATTTAAGGATAAATTTTGGTGGGGGTGGGGAGACGTCTACAGCCATGCCACCCTGAATAAGCCCGATTCTGTCTGATCTCGGAAGCTAAGTAGGGTGGGGCTTGGTTAGTACTTGGATAGGAGACCTCCTAGGAAAACCAGATGCTGTAGGCGTAAAAATAAGTAAAAATAAAAATAAAGGATTTTTAGGTGACAAGGTCCTTGAATCTGTGAGGTCAACCAAGGGTTGCCTCATCTAAAAAATAAAAAAAGATAAAAAGAAAAAAAAATGGCATGAGATAATCCCAATCTTTCATTTGAAGAAATAAAATCATCTTGAATTTAAAGGCAAAGAGAGGGATATGTACAAATTACAGTATAAAAATGCCAAATTTTATTTCAGTTTTCTTAAAGGATAAAATGGATTCAATTGGTCAATTTCTACACAAGGAATCTGTGGAGATATGTTTATCCTCATCTAGTACATTTCTGCATTATTCTTGAATACCTGTGTCATTTACTACTTATTTCACCAAAATCTAAGAAATTAGTTGAAGAACTGTTTAATTTCCCCCCAAATAACAGCCACTATGGTATAGAGCTTCCCAGTCATACTGGAAGGTAATTTTCCTGCAGGCATGGTTATGAGTATATCAGTAACAAGAATTTGAATCCTAGGTCTTAAACTAAAATACTTAAAGTAGACTAACCCGAGGCAGAATGAGAAATATTTTTTCCCTTGGCTGTTGGTCTAGAAAAAAGATAATTTCAGATGTTCTTACTGATCCTAGCTTCTTCAGAACTTAAAAATTATGATTGGACATTAGCAAATCTTAACAGTCTTCTGGCCTATGGTTTCTGAGTTTTAAAATATTCCATTAATTCAATTAAACCAGCGCAACGAACTTTTTTATATATGAGTTCCATATAAATTTTCCTTTATCAAAAGGGCTTAGCTACTCTATTTGAAAACCACTAACATCTGACCCAATCACAACCACTGTGATTCTGTGATGTTCCCAGATTTTACAACTTATTTCAGAAATGGAAGACAGCTCTCCCAATTCCTCAGAAACTGGTAAAGTTAATATCATTTTCGATTCCATTAAGTTGTACTTACATATTTTCTAATATATACAGAAGCTGAACAGAAAGTTTTGTTTCCTTGTCTCATTCAAAATATACAATATATCCACAATATAAAAAGCAATGTAAAGGGAACCTTCAAGATCGGATAAATCAGAGAAAAAAAACAGCACACAATAAGTAAATTCCTATCTTCTTACTCTAATTTCACTATTCTCTTCATTACCACCTGCTCTTAACCACTAGTCAATATTACAAATGTCATCATTACTAGACTAATAACATCAACCAAACTGTATCTGTTGACTCTGATGAGTAGTTTCATTGTAATATAAATTTCTAAATAACATTTTATCAAATACTACTTCTCACATCCAATCTTCCTATGCAAAATGATGAAAATTCTTTCAGTTGTATATCAAAGGTAAGAAAAATTAAAACCTATAGACCACCTCTAGACCTCCTTTCCCTTTGAGATTACCACAATCAAATTAAAATAAGCTCATTATTGGTTTAATTCCACCATTATCATCAACATTTTATTTCAGGTCATCGCCATAAAGCCAAGTAAATAAAGTTAAAAATATTTATATGCTAAATTGATCTCCATCTTGTTTTTCCTGTCAGAATTCTGAAGCTTGTCAGAGAAATTCATGTCATTCACCAAGTTTCCAAACAATTTTCTTTATTAGTTTAACAGTTTAATATAATTAAATATTTTAGAAACTAAGTTCTCAGTTAGCATTTTTAAATTTTCCAAACAGATGGTACTTTATTTAGGGCTTAAATTTTCAAATTTAGAAACACACAATACAGATATGTTGAAGTTAAATTTCGATACTCCAGTACTAAAGTTACAAGTTTTAATGTCAGTCATCAAGGTTGCCTCAACACCTATGCAGCCTCCCAACGCTTATATTTACACTACAATCACTATATGGTTCTATTCAACTGGAAGCTCTGGCTCTTAAAAGTCTCTCCTTTAAGTTCTTCTATAATAAATGTATTGGAATAATTAAAAACATAAAACCACTCAACAGCACCAGTTACTACAAATGTTTAGGGAAGTTTTTCAATGAGCTCAAAGGAAATGGTAGCAGTATTTAAAAATAATATTCTCGTCAATTATATATCAATAAAACTGGAAAAAAGAAACTGAGTATGTGACTATGTACAGCATTCATCACTGCTTTAAAAAAAAAAAATAGACTGATTCCAATATTAAAATAGCCATGGGCTTCAAGAATTCTACATGAGTTAAGAATGCAAGCTTCTTCTTAAAAGTTTCTTAAAAGTAGAGACCATTTCTTACATAACTTTCTAGCCTCAAAATTTAACTTGTAGCCTCAAAACTTAATAGTATCTGACATATAACAGGAATAAAAAGTTTTCTTTCATTCAACATTCTCACACAAAAAGAGGTTAAAATTTTATACAAGTGAATTTCTGATCACCTATTTGTCAGGCTAAACTGTCAGGTTTCCAGAATTTAGATTAAGAGAGCAGGTACAACACTGTCAAAGAGAAAATTAAGTCAAGGTACTAGAAAGTAGCTGCCTGAGAGGGAACTGACTAAAATGGCCCACAGGAGAACTGGTTAGAGTGAGAAAAGATATTTGGGTGATAATTATACGTACAAAACTGAAAAACTTTCCAAATTGAACCTTTACACACTATAATCTTATTGTTTGTAAATTATGTCTCAAAAATTCTAAATAAAAAATGTTCCGCATTAAGAAAAAAATTCTTAAGTTATCATAAAATGTAGTGGACTAATTAAAAACATAAAACCACTCAACAGCACCAGTTACTACAAATGTTTAGGGAAGTTTTTCAGTAATATGAGACTATACACTGAAAAGTTTTGTGAATAACCTTGTGTATTTAATCACCATTCTCCGTAAAAAAGAAAATGGCAATTTGAGCTCAAAAAGATCTGAGCCTACACAGATTGAATCAATCCTAATTATAAAAATTTTATTTGGTATATTACCTCTCTGAAATCATCTTCATTTCTGGCTCAAATATAAAACACAAGCTATGAGAAATACGTGAACTAACATCATACCTCCTGAGAATAAAGTCTTTAATCTCACTCTTGTTCACCAGAATGTTCAATTCTATCAAATCCAAAATAACGAAAGTAAGTTTACAAATTCAAATGGATTCATCTCAGAAAAACTGGTTTTGCCATTTACTGATCCACTGTTGTCAATTATAAACTATGAACAGCAATGAAAACACATGGTAAAAAGTTCCAAGATTCTCCCTCATTTATTAAACACTCCTGGAACACTGTGTCCCTTAAAAAGAGGTTTTACAAATTTGTACAACTATGGAGGAGTCTGGTTGTTCCTAATATAACAGTATATGCCAGTGGATACATTATTGGTTAGACTATGAGTGTGTACCAAAATCAGGAGTAGGAAACTAGTTTTATTATTTCGATTAACAATAGTAATTCCCATTTCCCCATGTTGACATGAAGACTTCTTAAAAGGTACCTGCCACGCTTTCAAGACAAAGTTCATTAAACAAACATTCCAAATAATTCCAATTTGGAAATCAAGCCCTTATTACACAGCTTTCAGATCAACGGAATAAACATTTTGGGATATATATTAAATAGCACTCAAAAGTAAAAGTCTTAAGAATGATATAAACTGAAATTATTACAGTCTAGAAAGTTCAGAGATGAAAGAAACAGGACCTGGAAATAAACGGGAGGGGAGGATCACTCATTTTTCACTAAAGGAAGTTTACTTCCACTACTTTTATATTCAAGCTCATATTCCCAATACATATAAATGTCATAATATCCCAAAACCGTACTCTATAAAAGGAAAAGAAAAAATGTATTTTAAAATTTTTACTTTCCCTTAAATTTTTTTTCTAGAAATACTAAAAAGCTGCTAGGTTAGATAAAGAACAGTTCTTGACCTCAAGAACTAAAGAAAAAGTTGGCCACTTAGAAATCCTAAAAAGAGAGAAAGATAGCAACAGTTTACCCGTTCTAAACTGAACCATCCAAATCAAACAAAAGTAAAACATGACAAACTTGGAAACTGAGCACTCTATTTTAAAATACTAGATGAGTATTTGAGATGCAACAAAAGGGAACCCCCAATTTTAACCAATTCTCTCACTGGGAAAAATTCTCCAACACCATTCACACTAGCTGTGCTCCTAGGCTAGTAACTTAATCTCTGTGACCCTCAGTTCTTTCATCTGTAAAATCAAAATCA